CGTCCAGGCGGACACAGGCGCGTCAGGATGTCCCGCAAAGGGTTAATATTAGTTAGATAATATTGAAATAATATTGAAACTATACATAAAAGTTTGGTGAGATTGCGGTACTATTAATTAACTGCTAAATTCATTGAAAATATTTTTTGATTGTTCAGCATTAATCTAGAAGCAACAACATCTATACGCATAATTTAATATGTAAGTGTGATCGTTAGCTGGGATTTTTCGAGTTGCTTAAACTGTAGAACCAGTGCTTTTTGATATTCAGGTTTCGACAGTTTCTGAAATCGATATCTGTTTGCCGTATTATAGTTTAATGGGCATCAAATTTTCGAAAATAATTTTGATATTCGCTTTACATACTAGGTGGTGTTCACAATGTTCGTTTGTACAGTTACTGGTAAAGTTTATAATATTGAGTTTCATACTGAGAGCATGAAGCTTTCAAACTACGTCGACGTTAATCGACTGTCCCGTTATATAGATTTCTGATCCAGGAAATGCAACGTTTTACGTGCGACGCAGTGTTCAAATTAAAACGTCGATCGCGATTTCGATAAATGTTTAATTTGTGAAACACGTTGGTACTGATACTGTGAATCTTTTCGAAAAGTATGAACTATGTGGGCCGCGGTGTCAAGATCTTTGGAGATACTGGTAGCCTTCTTTGAGTACTACACTGCCAGGTAAGGCACCAAATATAATTATTAGACTACCTATCTCCTTATGGCCCTCACGAAAAATACTGTTAGTTGCGTGAAATGACTATTGGCGACTATCAAAAACTATTTGAATGTAACTATTGAATATACTATTTGTAGTAACTATACTATTTGAATCTTATAGTATTTTTCCGTAAGGTATTGCATACAAATAAAAAACCTATGAATACGTCATTTTCACTATTTATATATGAATAAAATATACGTATTTATCAAATATAAATATAAAATCATACGGTTCATATATTATCTTAACAAAAGCAAATCATGGATTGTTTAGATTTTAGCTAAAGTTTAGTTCTTCGCAGAATAATGAAATATACATATTAATATACATAATAATTTTTTTCATTTATTAGTGTAAGTGTCTGCTAATAATCAGTAAACTATATGGGGTCATTCCGCGATACAATCAATCATTATAGAATATTAGATTCTGAACAGAAAGTGAGCGATCCAAATTGGAGTGATGTTTCAGTACGTTTCGAATACACGTCTACGGTGTCTCCGGAGACTTTATTAGTCTATAAAAATCGATTGAACGAATAAAGCGCTCACTTCCGAAACCACTGGCAACCCAATATTCTGTTTAAGAGGAAATATAAAAAAAAATCGGCAAAAAACTTATTTCCCTTTAAATTAAAATATTCTGTTATTGGCATAAAAACCAGACAAGCTCGAACTCATGTTTTTTTTTCCACTAATTGCGAAGCACAGCTTGCACGACAACTACAAAAAAAATTAATATCCTGTATCTCATTCACCAATATCGTACTATCACGGTACAGTGCTATAAAATACTAACAAACCATTAGAGCCGAAATCCAATATACTTTTAAAAAATTTTCAAAATTTGTTACATAAGTCTAATTTAATCAAACTTTCGAAAAAAAACTTTAAACGACGTTACGGACAGATACTCATAAATAATATAATACGAACCGTCGTTAAAAATTAGGATAAACGAAATTTGTCAAACGAATTTAATGACTTGTTTTTACCCACTAACTTCCCCGTGACCGATCAATGTGCTGAATATCTGGAACAATCTTGCGCACGATCAGGATTTACTATATCGTTTATTACCTTGAGCACATCCATCGTGGCGAAACGATTGTTCCTCATCGAATGTGACAACTCTTCAGATACTTCAATAACTTATTCAAGAGGGTATTTCGTATCTGAGAAGTTCTGGAAAAGCGTCGCTAGTTATCAACACGGAGTATGATGTTTTAACTCAACAAGTTATGCTTTGTAGTCAATATTTCCCAGTTAGACTTTATGACGCAGACTTCCTTGACACATATCTATCTCGCCACGTATTGTCCCATTCTGTACAGACACAATATGTATATATATAATTTCCATTATAGTTTCATAGCAAGTCAGACGTAGATATTGGATATCGAACTTTAAACATAGATATACACGTATTCATTGTTTAGGATCATTATACCTGCTGGTACATTGAAATCATTAGCTAAGTTTTGTTAAAAATTATATTTGTATAGCTCAAAATTGAATGGTGAATCTACTTTCTGAATTTTGACTATTGTACAAAGTTTCTTTAACAATATTTTGTGACAATCACGGAAATACAATATATGTATTAATGTGAAAAAGATCTGTGCAACCGATACACAGAATTTGCGACGAAAACGTAGGAAACAATGTTGACGTCAATGGAGCTTAAAGCACAAAAAGTCAATTACAAGTTGAACTTTGCCGGTTTAATATTAATTTATTTACTAGAAGAATGATATATGGGTAAACTGTTATTCCCAGAAGATATTATACTTTGTTCGCTGTTTGCAGTTTTTGTTAATCAGAAATATATTTGCAAATAAAAATAAAGCTTATGGTACGGTAAGTTAGTACAAGCTTCATATAATTCATGGTATCGATCGTATCGTTTTCGAATATTGTTGTTCCATTATGAATTTCCTCTTAATACTCGTTCGAGCTTATGGTAGAAAATGCAATTATACAAACTGATGGTATTCGTCGACGTCCCTTTTGGATCTGGCGACAAACGAAATTTTCGCCATTATAAAAAAGTTTAAACTGAAATACATGATGAAATCATCTCTTGATACTTCGCCATGGACAAATTAGATTATTAAACTTTTCTGGCCACGCAAGTTATTTGCAGTTTCAGGAATATCGTATTTCCCTAAGCTACGGGCAACGAGTACAGTCAACGTGTTCTCCACCTCTTATATCTTAATGTTAATACTTAATATGATACCTATATATTTTCGTTTCATTTCAAGAAATGTCAACGCACTGGGTATATACGATTCAACGCTATGGTTATGCATACTTGTGTCCTTGGTATCATCTTTGGTATCTCATACATTCTAAGTATCTTCGTACTTTGAATATTCCAGTACAGTTGTATAGTTATAGAACAGTAAGAGATATTGTATTTAATTAGAATAATTTACTAAATATATTCTACCAAGGGAAGCCCAGAAGAAAGTTACAAATAGCAAAGAAAACCAAGACGGAATTCAAGGTGGTACGTCGGTATGAAGAATAAAGAGAAGAGCAAAGATGATGAAAAACTGTAATTTTAATATCCGTCGTCGACTAACGTGACCAAAATTATTATTGAAAATCCAAAGGCAATCATTGAATAGATCTATTTGATGAGATATACCCGATCCTGTTAAATTATCTTACGTAATGTATTCTGCTGTATTCTTTTCGATATTCAAATACAACAGATACATGAAATGTATAAAGATAATCGAATCTTTAACCAAAATAACATTCTAGTCCCGAAAAAAAATTTCAAAATCCCTTTTTCAATAAGTCTGTATAAAACCGATATGAATGTGGAATTTCAAATGATTTGAATTCCAAATTTTAACATGCATAGCTTGTGTTACCATACTCGTATTTATATATGTATATACCTATCAAGATACATTATTTTGCGGCAAACTATTCCTATACGTATATTACACACGTATAATAAATCCATGCAAAGTAAAAAAAATTCATAGACAATATTCAGTGTCCCAAATAGTACATTTTTGTTTCATAAAAACATTTTACTCTTTTTACATTTAACAATCAATCGTTACACGAAAAATATTGCAGATTTTTGCACACACGGTATATTACATGCACTTTATCCAAGCTCCATTCAAACTTAACATAGGTTCAAATATCGTGAGAAATAAAAGGAATTGATGCATTGCGTTCAAATGTCAAACAACTTTAATGTTACTCTGCGTTTATAACTGCACCCTCGCAAGTTCAACTTTCTTTGTGCTTTCGTGCACTTTGATCTCTAGGCTCCCGATGCTTCCAAGCCTTGTGAGCTTTCGATGACCCAGTAAGATGCACGTAACGTAATATACAATATGGTACCAGCGCTTTATTACACAACCTTAGTCTAAAACGAGAGAGCGCGGGATTTAATTTCTGATTAGCTGATCCAATTTCTGTCTGATCGTGTACCTATGGAAATATGTAATGGAAAACCGTTATGTTTTATTAACACACATATTCGTTTAGTAACTGTAAATAGGATATATTACACACGACATTTCGCATTATTCCTACCATAATATCGTGTTATAATGAATCCTGTGGTGAAGTTAGTGATATACATAAATACAATTGAAGATATGGATAATGGGTATTAGTATTAATGATATATCATATAGAAATATTATTTTGCTTCTTCATAAAATTACTATACGATAACATGGTCTGAGATTACATTGAATCTTTGCTGATGCTTTTGCTGCATTAAAGTGAATGATAATATTGCTGCTAATGTAGTGTTAAACTATTATTATCAGTTTTGATACATCATGCCCACAATTATCAATTGACTAATGAGAATAACTTTTTCTGTTTCATGTGTTGCTGAAACTTTAATTTCGATGACCGCAGAGCACAATTGGAGTAAGTATTACTTTTTATTGATCTTAGTCTTTATTGCTATGATGCTGCATATACGCATGTTCGAGCTTATTCGGCTTGATTGACATGAGACAATTTTAAAGCTTTGTTACTTTGGATTAAACAATGACTTCATAGTAATTAGTATACTCGTATCCGAGATGGACTAGGCTTTGTATAATAGAAGATTCTTAGATGCAGAAATAAATTCTTGTGCATTTATTGATTATTATGACATATGGATGATACATATTTCAGCCATATAACGTCTATGTGATTTCTCTGCGCCAGCCAATGCCAGAAGTAGAATTGATCAGGTTTTGTAAGGAATCATATCATTCGAGAATGAATGCTTTCGTTCTCCATAGTTGTTCAGTGGCCTGTGAGTTGACTTCAATCCATTCTCATATCTTTACTTTTACGAGAAATGGATTGAACTTCATTGTCCTGGGATACGGTTATCACGTTCTTGAAAAACTTTCAGAAAATCTCCTTGAGATACTTGTTAAATGAAACTAGGTTTTATTACCATTACTCGGTAACGAGCCAAGGGACCCTACAGAGAATGTCATAAGGGTTTGCTTCTTACGAGCAGTATTTATTGTTAAATATATTCGAATAAATATGATCTGTAACTTGTTGACGTTAAATTTGTATTGTTGCACAAAAAATCTTAAATTTTTATTTAAAATTCTTGAATTTATATTATAGCGATTGCGAGATTAAAATAAATTTTGTTTAGCGTGTAAGGTCAGCTTTATATGATTCGCAATTAGTGTATATACTTGTATTAATACACGCATATCGATTGTTGAGTGTAATACAATTTCTCAAAATTATTCAGCAATAAGTTACCAAATTTCATGTAACCTCACTTGTGGCGTTCATTCAGCCTCTACTCGATATACCTCGTACGTATAGGGAATGTATCGATTCCTGTCGAAGGGGACTTAGGGACTCAGCTGCGCTGAATAAGGGAGAAGAGTAGGAGGAAACGTGAGCGGAATATCAGGTTGTCAAGTGAGATGACGGAGAAGTCTGAAAAAATGTACAATATGAAAAATCACCAGTATAGCACTATGGAGAAGGAAAAGTATTGACTCACGTTAAAAAAATTTTTTTTAAAGTAATTTCCATATTGTATATTCGTTACTTGATTAATGATACTTTTTATAAACATCGTCAATTTCATTAATTCAAATTTTACCGCGTGCAATTCTCTTTCACATTGCAATATATCATACTCTGGTTAGTGTCATTAAACACGTGGTTAACAATTGAAAAATAATGGACAATATCGTACAGACGTCTTTTATTATTTATATTAAATAAAAACGATATTTACGAATGGTTTAGCGGAACCATGCTCGATATATTGCATAACTTAATTAGAACGAAAATATATTTGGAGGGCTGTTTATTCTCAACAATTTTTAAGTCACTGTCATCTTCCATCTTGCTGATGAACATTTAATCCATGGAGGATGATGTATCTCATGTACAATCAATTATTTGTCAAGTAATACACGATGCCACGTTATACATATATTGACAGAATTGAGATATCGAGAGACTTGGATTCTAATAATGAATAATGAGATTCGTTTTAACGGCATTGTTCTCCACCCTTGAATAGGTCTGCGTACCAGGTCATCCAATTCTGATTTTATCCTCAATTCGCCCTCGGAGATTTTTCTTCGACGAACTTTGTCCTTCGTGATAATTGAACATACTGCTCCTGCATAGTCGCCATTGCGTTGTGGAATCACAAACCAATTTAAATGACGCAAATTGTTCGAGCAATATACAATGTATCGCATTCCTATCTACCTGGCTCTTTGAGAATAACAAGTTATTGTCGTTGTACAAAGAATAAAAAATGCATAGAACTTCGTGTATTTGTAAATTTCATTGAAAGAAAAAAAAAATGCCAATTCTTAGATATAAGATACAGCTGAGTTTGAGAAATTTCAAGCATCCCGATTTTCCACGCCTTGTTTTCCTTCCACAAAGCTTTTCTCCCCTTACTCACCTGAAGAAAGCATATTTTCGATATCTAACCCCCTTGACGATTGATTCAAAATTTTATGAATAATTCATCAAGGTTGTAAAAAAACTTGCTACCATTTGAAGATCTGCTTTTGTTAAAAAATCCACAATCATCGTCGATTATCTACTGAACCATACCTTAATACGAAAAATTTGCATTATCAATGATTGTTGCCATTTCCGAATATAAAATTCCTATTTATTGTACTGTAAAAAAAAAGATAAAATCTCTCGAGGATACTCTTTGAAATATTCATTATTTAGTCATTCATGTACCAAGGTACGGTGGTTTTGTTATTGTTAAAGAACAAATAATAAAAAAGAACAATTTTCTTGTTACAATTGACCAAAAAATGGGGCGTTAAATCGTTTCCCTTAGTTAAGTCAATAATGGATTATAGGAACGGATAATTCCTGCCTGTTGAAAATCCCAGGACGACGTATACATAGCTCGAAGGCGCCGCGGAAGATCGAAACTGCTGACGAGGAAGGCCTAGGAGTAGATGAAATTCTGTAACAGACCCTGGCAATGCGTTGACGAGGGTTACAGCCTGTACAAGAAAATGTCGTTCACGCAACTGAGTATCAACTGTCAACGCGTTAAATATATTACGGCAACCTTAATAAGCAAAATTACTAATATCGTCTTTGGGCTATTGCAGGGCGGATAAATTATTCTAATGAACCTAAGGGCTTACCGTCTCTATTTAGCGATACTTTGAACTAAATTTAACAACGGGAAATAAATAATAAAATTAGAACTTCATTATGTTGATTTTAAACATATTTATATTCGTTCCATTTATTGTGTCCTGAAAATATTTCGTACCTGCGTCTATGTTATTTACGTTGCTGTTTATTCCAATAATATACTAATTTATCTGGTTGACAGTATTGATATTAAATGGTAATCCAAATCATCCATAACGCCTATACATGACAAACGACAATAATTTGTCATCCGATCCATAACCTAAAATGATATTAGCCCATAACAACCAATTAATCTTGATGATCGAGCAAGCTATTGGTTTCTCGGCTGATTTGCTCTAATAGTTATATAACTGCGGTTATAACGCTGAATTGGTTATTAGGGATGCGGACGTCGTCTGCGTTACGACGCCGTAAGCTTCGACGGTGTGAAATTTTAGTTAACATTTCTTCTTCTCTATTCTCGTCCTTGGTTGCCATTTCAAATAAAATAAGTGACGATTATTGCACTTGCACACATAATAATAACCATACGTGCATTTATAATCATTATAGTTAAATATCAATTAGAATAATATTATTTATAAGGTGTATAAATATTAATCACATTAATTCCTAGTAGCTTGATGACGCATATATATTTTCTTCAAATATGGTGTGAGTATTGAATAAAGCGGTATAATATCGCTATGCTCAAGTGATACAATCAAATCGAACAAATTCATTTCGTATTTGAATGTACCGCAAGACGTTTAATTTCATTTGATTTTCTGTAAACCAAGTGAGTGTAAGAATTACGCATTGATTGTGATCCTTATTTTTTATGTGACAAAGGGCAACTGCAAAGCAAGTTGCGTTAAGGAGAAATCCGAAGAAAGATGTAGGAGAGGAAAAAATGATGGATATAGAAGGATGTGTGTAGAGAAAAGAAGAAGAGAAAAATAAAAAATCTTGTGAAAAAGCCCATTCCGGTGAGACATTGCCTCTCCTTAAAGGAGCTACTCCCCTCCGTGATCCAACTACGGACCGTTGTTGGGGTAAGCCCCTGAATCGCGAGGCCCAAGGAGAACCCCAGTAAAGGATAAGGATACAGTTGGACAACGGTTACTATAAACTACAGAAGTTATGTGAAAATATTGGGCGAAACCGTCTGCAGATCAAAAACACACAATCCGAGCCCGGCCTCCACGGACAGCGGGGACCCGCGACTATACGACTTTTGAAGGAGATTCCGAACTGTGACCAACTTTAGCCACAAACGTAAAACACAATGACGCGGATATGAATATACAAAAATAAGGTTTGTAGCAAGCTATAAGAAGGCATATGTGTAAATGCGTGGACTAAGCACTTTCGGATCATTTGGTCGCAGACGCAGAATATCGGAAACGGGAGCCAATCTCAAAACGCGATCGCCTCCGACCGAGTCGATCGCAACGAATCACGCGGGAGCAGCGACCGACCAAAGTCGGGAGATCCTGAACCTTTCCAGGACCGGAAGCCTAACTTTAGGTTTCTGGCGATTTAAACTAATTGCATTGTATTTATGAGGATTAAATATTAAAATGTCATAAAAAAATAATTATGTATCTCGGAACTTCAATAGCTGCGACTCCGAGATGGAGGAGCAACGTGAGCTCTAGAGCGGAGGCTGGAGTGTCTCATACATCATGAAGAACGACATAATCATATTTTTATACATGTTTTTTAACGAATTTTCGATTGCACACAAGGTTAAACAATTATTTTAATAATAAACAATAATATGACATCCAAATACAGCAAACAATCACCTGTAAAAATTGTATCTCCCTGAAGCCTAATATCAGGCGCTGAAGTGGCACCGTCTTTTTCTCGTAGTCCAACCCACTTACAAAGACAAAAATATTCTAGCAGTAAAATAATAAAATTCGTCCGAAAAAAAACCGGTCCTATAACTGGTTAAGATATTAAAAATTACACTTGAATCCTCCATCGCGTCTCGCCCACTCGCCGAAACTCGGGGCAGGTTTGAAGTAAGGAACCACGATAGTCAGCATTAGCAAACCCCCTTACTCGTCGATCAGCGCGCACAGCGTTCCCAGCAGAAGTGATTAGAAGTTACCAGGTGACTTTACGTGCACCCGATACGACAAGTAGAGTAGGAAATGCGAACGCAGACGGACGTGACTGCTCCCCTAGAGAATGCAGTAAGCGATGCCAGCGCCAACCAACGACACCCAACCGCTCAAAGCGTCTTGGTGTATTGGCTACGGAGTTGACAGTGATACCAAAGTGATATCACGAATAAGCAATAGCCCAGTGGCAGGCATGAGAAACTTAGGTAACACAAAAAAACAAAAAAAAGAATAAGAGAGGTAAGGGGTCTGAAGCAAATACATTCCCTGTATATCAGGCATTTCCCACCCGCCTCCCCTACGTCCAGGTACTGACATACGAACGCTGCCTTCGGAAATCATCGCCAATGTTCGGCATTCAGTCGTATTTACAGTAGGCCATATTATTTATAGCTGTCATTTGAATATTATTTATCACACGTTTGATTTATTCTTATATCATGCATATATATATCCTTTAGTAACTATTATACGGAGTGTTCTCACAGAGCTATTTAATAATAATTACAGTTTTATATATATATGTATATAATACATTAGGGTGTTTTTCTGGTCACAAAATTTCTATAACTGCGGTTATTCAGCTAATAAAAGTCAAAGGAAATTGAACGTCTAGCGCTACATTCAAATCTTAAATGATTTTGCTCGACTTAATTCTATCACTTGAATATAGCGATATAATGTTATTGTACAATACTATACTCAATACGTAAATCGGCATGTGTTCCGATCGGCTATCGATTTGAAGCTAGCAAGTTCACATAGATGGGTCAAATAATATTAAACTGTAACAAAGGTATCACTGACGAGTAGTGTACCTTCCATAAAAATTAATTTATGTGCAATATGCATAATACGCAATCTTAAACTAACATCAATAAAAAGCTGACTCTATAAAAATACATATCTACGATCCAAATTGTTGAGGCGAACTGAGTAACTGATGGAATATGATGTTATCATCTGCAGAACGACAGGCAGTCCTGGCAGCAAATCACCAGCAGGTGGTAGCGGTGGTCCTGGGGGCGGCGGAGGTGGCGGCGGTGGTGGCGGCGGTGCCGGAGAACCTCGCACGCCTACAGCAGGTCCACAGAACAAGCAACTTCAAAATGTTAAGGGTGATCATCCCTCAGTAAGTTTACTTCTGTTCACTTTATGCATTCGTTTTAGAGGAATTCGTTTTATGATATTTATTAAGACATCGTGCATTCGCGTGTAAGTATTTAACAGTTACTGTATACATATACAGTGTATGATGTAGTACGCTGACCATCGTGGATATCTTAGAGCGAAAATGTCCAGCAGGTAGTCGAAGCGACGATCCTCACTTCGAGACACCCATGACTCGGTGTAGAATGAAGAAAGTCTTGTGCCAAAGCAAGTGACAATCATATTTATCTGGATTGTATTCGAAAAAAGGTATTCGGAGAAAGTCGACGAAAAGCTCTAATATCACTGAATATACATTAATGATAATATTTCTTCTTTCGTATTACCATAGTCTGCCTTATAGCTAAACGATTTTCAATATTCTAACGTATTCTATGAAATCCTTCAAAATCCCTAAGAAATATCGTACGAATTGAACGTCGATTTTAGATTCCATTTCTGTTCTATCTTTTTTTTTTTCGTCCTCTCTTATTATATATTCATCTTTGCCATGTGGGAAATGAGGTCGATATTATATAATCAAATTAAATATGTTACCTAGAGTCTACACCTATTGTATTGATACTATGGTATTTTTTTCAATATGTTATACCAGAATCAGTTCAGTTGTCAGAGTATTTTAACGACGTGGGATGATTTTATTATTCCTTGCAATCTTGCGACAACGACACGATCTCTTGACTGCGAATGAATTTATTATTGAATTGAATTTAGTATTGAATTTACTTTTTTTTTATTCGTCACGTAATAAAGATATTCTCCGATTCTGTCTGTCGCTGGCAAAATATGAAAAGGTGAATTTTACGGGGTCGTGAATCAGTGAGAATTCACGTCCATTCGGAACAGCCTCGTGAGTTTTGGCTGTTTTACGAGAGGTAATTAACATAACTGCTACTCCGCAGTTGCCGTTTTATACTTCGTCGTATCTTAGATGATAGTATTCCTTTCCATGATTTGTTTAATTACTAATTAGGACTCGTCCATAATTCGGCAGAAAGTGGCTCCATTGGACTTCCTTTGTTTTGGACATTAACCGAATGAAATATTATGGTAACTTAATCTGAGATTTTACTACTGAATGTCTGTCAAGTTTTGTTACGTCAAATTATCCATGGACAATTTTAGAATGGTATTTATTGTACTTTTCTTTAATATGACTAATAATACAGTTTTATTCGTTTATTTGCAGAAAGCATTTTTGCAGAGCAGATCCATTTCGTTGGTCGACATGTACATCGACAATACAGAACCCAGTGAAAATGTTGGACAAATTCATTTCAGTTTGGAATATGATTTTCAAAATACCACACTCATTCTACGCATACTACAGGTGAGTTGTTTTGATGCATGTATTTTATTTAAAAACAATTTTCTATAACAAAAGTATTAAATTCGGTCGAAATCTGCAATCCCGGGAATTATTCTTTTATACGTAAATCGAATTGATGTACATACATTTTTAGCACGGTACATCTCTCCTATTTCTTCTTCCAGCAATATTTTTTCGCTCGTAGGCAATTTATTTCACAGAATGCCGCTTTATTGTCAAATGCCACGTACAGTATGGTTGCCGAGCTTGAGAGCTTTTTGTAACATTTCGGAACAGCGTACCACCGCAGTTCGAATGATGAATGACGTTTCTAACTTCCGACGTCCCGGAAATATTAAACGACGTGCATATGTTCCATCTGACTTATCAATATATCAATATGATTTTTCAGTTATTGGTTCATTCGATATAAAGTGAAGTATTAAATTATACGAATATTGATTATCAAATATATAATAATATCGTTGAAATTCACTCGTTCACGTATTAAAAATACACGTTTATCAAAGTTTCTAATAAAACGGTAAAATTGTCGAATTTTATTGTAATACGAATCCCTACTGGAAACGTGTCATCCCGAATTGTATCTATGTGTCCAATACCGTAAACAGAAAATATGGAAGTGATGCAAACATATTTTGACAATAAATGCACTTCGATATCGTATACGTGTAAAACATTTTTTTTATCTATCCGAAAATCACGAGAGAAAAAAATTATATACCGTAGCAAACTCGTCACGATCGAACGGAAGAGATCAGGTATGGTTGCACGGTAAAGTTCCATAGCAGATTCCTATTCCTCGGGGATTATGCCTCAGTGGTGAACGATTTGAAAACTTAGAGCGTTTCCGAGACAATCAAATAAATCGAATCCATCTTATATCTATATATGTATATAGGTATTATATGATCGAATATCTACAAATATCCAAGTAAAGCGTTTTCCTAAGCAATACCTCCCTTAAGTAACAGGTGTTATGAAAATTGTGCAATCACAACGGAAACTTGAAAAAAGTATTCATCATGTGGAAATACATATAAGTATTGCCGTTATCCATAAACGATATGCAAAGTGCTTGACAGGACTCGTCTCATTTCTTTGCTAAATATGTCAATCTGTTAATGTTCGTTTTCCAAGAATCTGAAAAGAAAAAGCGTTACAATAGAATCAGTAAAACAAACTATGGTGAACATTTGTCTTTCGAGAAATGTATACATGGCTACCAATCAATTTTGCCAATTTTTTACACTGCTGGATGGGTACATCCAGCAAGAGGTACAACATTAATCTTCCCATGTGAACATCGTCCCAATTGACCCTCGTTTAAACTTGAAAATTCACAATTGATTTTCTAATTGACATTTTTAGGATTTATTGTTTTTGTCGTTTCTACTAGATGAGAATCATTAAGAAGGTGACTCTACTTACATATGAACAAGTCTGTCCTCTTTTTGACAATTATTAATGCTTCTCAAACCCAAGGGTTCACATACTAACTGAGTCCTTGTTCTATTTTCTGGGATTTAGGACGACTCATTGAAGAATGATCGCAAATTATATGAGAAATCTGCAGTCAGATGATGCTAAGCCCACTTAAACTTTCCAGTATAATAAATTAATGGCTTCAATCTGCTACATTAGGCGAATGAAGCGTTTTCACTTATGTGAAATTAATTCCTACGACGAATTAGCATATTATGCAGTAAATATACCTATTAGTATGACTAATAACCGATAGCTGCTTTCTATTGTTATTTTACTGTATTTCTTGCGTAAAATTTCATGAAAGTTTTTCTTTTCATTTAAGTAATGAACATTGTAAGTTTGTAACTACTTGATACACTTAAAAATTCACTTGAATTTTTTTTTTATATAAAAATGTCAGTATTTTAGTAGTATATATATTTTTCTTAAACAGTTATTATGTATTTTGTAATATTTTTAAAGTGCGTATCAGAAGGTACTGTCAAATGTATAAAATAATGTATGAAAATTTTGAAATTTTTTTAATGATAAAATCAATGCATAGATAAAAACGTAATGTTCCAATATCGTACCTAATGACACCATCAACATTTTCATCGAGAATTGTAAATTTATTCAAGTCAACTTTTCGAGCTGGCAAAAGTTTCGGTCTCTTATATTCTAATAATAATCGCGTTCTTCATTATGAAATTTGCAATCTTATCTATTCTCTAGTGAAAATGTCTATTTTACCTTTCTCCCCTATTTTGATCTCTTATTAAAATTTTCTCAAGTTCTCTGCATCAGCAAAATACACAGTTCTATGTGGCCATTGACATGTGTAATTTGCACTAAATTTATCTATATTTTTTCTTAAGCTATTCCTTTATATCATTATTCACTTTGACATTATTGTAGGGCTAAGGTATAATTATAATTATTTTCAAATAAGTAACAAGGGGTCTATTAAAATTATTTCTCGTGTGCAATTTTTCTTTTCGTTTGATTAAACTTTTCTTCCTTTTCTTTCAATTTTTGATGTAGCGTGAAATGGAGTAACGCAACAGAAAGCGTCGATTTTTAGGAGTCGCGTAGAATCTAGAAACGCAACTGGGTGCGTAGACGAGAGCAGACGGTACCGAAAATGAACGGCCGCTCAGGCTGTGGATTACGGTAGAAAGGTTCGGATGAAGCGTAATGTAAATAGCACGAAATGCAGAGCGAACGATAACGTAAGAGAACGAATCAAAAGATAGAAAATAGGGATCCCTTCACCAATTAATAAATTGAGAATCCTCACCGGAGCTGCTTCAACTAATCCGTGGAGGTCGTGAACTGTATCCATAGGACACTCAGAGGCACAGCACTGCTCCTTATTAATTTTCCTCTTAATTTTCCGAGAGCGAACGCGAAAACTACACGACCGAGAACTTTCCTTACGGTATAGACAACGCGGCTAGAAAAACTATCAACTGATAACACGAGAGCGCGAGGCATCTCCAGGCACCTCCTCGGTGTCCCGAGATAGACTACTTTGACAATAGCCAATTTGGAGAACGAATTATTCTGATTGGTCGAAATCCCTTTAGCTAGTAACTACTATCCCCTTCTTCGAGTCGTCCCTTTAAACTGTATCGAGAGCAATGAGTAACTAGCACATTGGTTACGTCATAATTTGGGAGATCCCTCCATAACTGCTTCCCCAGCGAATAGGGCGAAAACAGAGCTCAACATCCTCAAATCGGGCACATTGAAGAACTTTTGTTTAAACTTTTTTTCGGCAATGCATTGTTTTAGAAATATTTAGCTGGGAAGTTTTCAAATGTACACACTGTATATAATTGCCATACAGATTGGTAATTTAAATGAAAATTACGTGTCTTGAATTTCCAGTAAACTCCTAATTGAAAGCTAAGCATTTTGATAAGTTCCAAGTAAAATCTGGAAATATCCTCGTTTGTATTTTCTTAAATGAGATTTACTTACCTATGTCCATTTCTAAAGATGTATTTATACATCTACTCATAAGGGATGTTGAAATAAATTTCCATCGAATTACCCTTATATATGGTAATGTCAACACTGAATAAGAAAAGAAATTTTGTAAAAATAATAAAACAATAGTGGCATCCTCCCCTTTGGAGAATAATAGTGACGCCACGATCAAATTATAATTAACCATTGTCTTAAGCACGACTATGGAGTAGCGTAAGAGCCTGATGTTTTCTTTAATAACGAACATGAATGAACTGTGACACGGCGGAAATTAAGGTGTTATTCTAGAGTTTCATTTAGCTGCTTTTTCTTGGCTCATGTTTCTGGCTCTACCTGTTGCATTAAATTAATGATCTTTGAGGGAGCAAAAGACAAATGTTTTACGTCATGATTCTCTATGGTTGCTGTATAATAGAAAAAAGAAAACTTAACATATAAGTCAGGATGAACCATTCACGTTTCCCGAAAATCCGGCGAAACTATTGAAGTCGATTGAATAACAATAATATCTGTCTTCACGACAGATTTCGCTTATTGATCGTTTAAATTTACAAATCACGATGAATGTTATTAATTACATGTCTGATGGTACAGCCAATTAAGCTTTATTGACGTTATCGATTTACAAAAAAAAAAAAGAAAATGAAATTGTAAAATGCATACATAGTATATATTTTTAACGACTCTATTTTTCTCTGCATATTCAGGTTGCAACATTCGTCCTATATTTTTTATACTACTCTCTGTGATTGCTCTCCTTACTAGTAAACGCTCCGCAGGACCTCAGTGTCTAATTGTATTTTCTTCAAAGTCCTAGTAGTACACGAGTAGAATCAGTGAAGACCGGGGACCGAAAAGTTTAGTTGGCGGATGTTTCCTAAAGATTCTATCTTGCGTGCTCGTCATTCGCAAGGAGAATATATAGAAAAAGTTACTAGGCTGAGTAACGACGTTATACCGACTTTAATTATAATTAACTTATATACTACAAGTAGATATAAGCAGGTTACTCGGGTCATAAATACTCCACGATTCCTAATCATGATCAGCGTTAGGTACAATACAGTTGTGTTTTCGGCAGCCTTTTAGCCATTTTTGTAGACGCCTGACGTCAGGCTACCGCGCAAACACGACAGCACAGCGCCTGATGTATCTCTACAACAATGTCCACTAACAAGACTGCAAACCAAGACGAACAGTTTAATTTGTACAAGACTGCGTAACTATAATGCAATTAAGATATTAAACAAGTTTGTTGTATTATGAGGTAGTTGATAAAGGGCACATACAAAATCTGTATAGTATAAATCCAATATTTAGTGTAATTATTGATTTTGATCGTATCTTGTCCAAGACCGATTGCTTTTGCAAAACATTTTGTAGATTGTCATCAATAGCAATTTGTATGGCCAGAAAATATATTTGTTGGTATATCTCGTTTCTTGGCCTAGATTACAAGGCGATACAAATTGATAACTATAAACTTGTGAAATTAATAATACTCTACATTGGTCTCTGTATCGTTATAGGCTTTATATAAGACATCGAATGCGGTATCGTTTAGCTTTATAGTAACTCGTAAAGAAAGATTATCTTTTTATGCTGATACCGCCGGTATTTCAGTTAGGGGCTCATTGCCTGAGTTGGTAGGAGATAAAAACTGGTGTGAAATGTCATTAAAAGTTGGTCGTTGCTGTAAAGGTAATCGTTTGAAATATTAATTATACACGATATTTCACGGAGGCCCGATCATCCCTTTATGCGAAAATTAAGATTAACATGAGCTAACAATACGACCCTGAATGTTTATAATTATTTTGTATACTTTTATATTTATAAACGTATTTAACATTCACATATATCTTTATTATATTATACAGGGTGATCACTAAAAGACTGAATGATATAAAACAAAAACTCCTTCAAACCCTTCAATCTTTCAGTGGCTACTTCATTGAATCTTATTAAAGTTTAAATATAAATAACGAGTTGATTTTCGATTTTATTGTAAGGATTTTGTTATTATTATTTATTTTATCTACGTCCCTTAAAAAAGCCACGGAGACCACCCTATTACAGAAAACATTTTTCGTTGGACGGGATTTGTGATGTTTATCTCAATACTGTGCGTTAAACTTGTTCCGTTTGTTTCATAACTCTTTACATGTATTTTCAATGCGAACACTTACTGATTTGATTTTCTTAAAACTTTCGACCTTTTATTCAAAGTTACAACATACACATACTAAAACTTCTCGTGCACAAGTGCGCGGTGACATAAGTAAAACGTACGAGTCTTGGAAACAAGAACGTCGTGAAGTAATACATATGTATTCAAAGAAACATTTCAGAGTTCGTAAGAAGGATGTTGTTCGTCAGTGAAAAATAAGGGAAGAAAGACACCATAGCGCTTTCGTCGCTGTAAACAAACACATAAATCCTCTTACAGGTACAGTTTAAAAATATCGCGGTTCACTCAACTCACAATTGTTATCCGTCGCTAATACTGCTGTCTAGCAATTTAAGTGTTTTGAATTACCCGCGTAAAATTCAAATTTCCAAAATTTTTCTTTTGAATCATACCATACGGACATACACTTTATATTTGTTTTATACAATCATTTCATATAGTATTCAGAGACTCGAATGAAATCTGACTTTGTGAATATGTTTGCAGGGAAAGGATCTACCAGCGAAGGATCTATCAGGCACTTCCGATCCCTACGTAAGAGTGACTTTACTTCCTGACAAGAAGCATCGCCTCGAAACGAAGATCAAAAGACGAACCTTGAATCCAAGATGGAACGAAACCTTTTACTTCGAAGGTAACGAAATCTTACGACATCATATCGTACTTAACTTTAGAACTTCACAATCTATCCTTATATACGTATAAATTTCTGTCGCTTCGGATATCTTTGTTACTGGCATTGTTTGATCTTTGGAAGATTTCCAATGCAAAATTCTCATCTTCTGCTACTCCGTTTTTCTTTATACAGCTTGTGCTCCAACCCTAGTACGTAGCTACTATAGCATCTCGAGATCTTACGTATCCTGTAAGATGCTCTCGCCACGTAAACACGAATAACGCGTCACGTGACATCGAGGAGAGTAAATATTTCTTTTTCTAAAGTAACAGCTTCTTGGCGGGCGAGGGAGCCTGCGGGAAAAAACAGAAGAGGATCATCCTTTCATAGTATCAACAGTATAGGATCACGAAATGTGCTCGCAGCAGTGTGAATATTTTATCTTGAGAACCAAGTGGGATTTGTTCACATCCATTTTCATGTGAATTAGATAAAAGTATATTTAGCACTTGTAAGATTTTACTCTTCCCTTTTTTTATCTTATTTACCAAGTCGCATCTCTCCGCGCGAAAGGTCAAATTCAAAGAAAACGGCCGACAGGTATATCTATTCGAAATTTTATCCACGTAACTCGACGCTAAGGGACCACACGGAAAAGTTTTCGATTTATTATTCCAAACGCATTTCAACACTCGTGCATACTCAAAGTTTTTCGCGTGGCTAACAATTACTTGAATCTCTTGAAAATGTCCGCAGGTTTTCCAATTCAAAAGCTGCAGAGCAGAGTCCTCCACCTTCACGTCTTTGACTACGATCGATTTTCAAGAGACGACTCCATAGGGGAAATGTTCTTACCGCTTTGCCAGGTAATTTCCTTTGATTTTCCGATCACGTAGAGACTGTAGCCGCTATAGTACTATTTACTTCCAAGAATATTAGCGATTTCGGTTAAGGTCTTTAAAGCTAGTAATTAAGTTCATATGTCGTCATTACCTCTAATTTTATTAGACATCGAAATTCTACAGTACCAAATGAGTAGCCTACTGCACCTGACCTATCCTAGCCTATCACTATTATCACGTACATGCATATACGTCATAAAAATACAAAAACAATATTCTAGTAGTATTTTTTAAAGAAATTAAAAACATGCTTTTTCAAAAATTTCGTTGTGATTATTAATTTCGAAATAATTTCGAAATATCGATACTACAAACGTACAATATAAATTATGTATACCCACATAGATAATACTTTTTAAAAAATGCTGACAAAAGCTGTAAGATGAAATATACGTATATTTATTTTCGTCTATGACTATACTGTAATCATATGTGTAACTATATAGTAATCCGCCAGGCAAACTCTATAGACGTGTAGACATTTATTGCCCAGGCGTAGAGAGCGTTGTACTCCGTAAGGGACGAATCGCATTCATGGATTCCGCTGCCAATAATGTAAACCTAGGCACGTTAATATGATTACACAAGAGGATAGGCAACACGCCCCTAGAGATTAAACGACCCTCACGAATCAGCCAGTGTAGCTACAACAGCTGGGAACATCCATCTGGACCATAATTTTTTGCGTTTCCATCCCTTTCCTTTATTTCCTCCTCGTTTTTGCACACGGTGCGTGATATATTATACTAATGTGATGTGAACCAAAAGTAACTTAACGTACGCTGGTCCTCTCTTTGACGCATTCGCACTCTACATGGGCCCAAGTCACATAGAAACGGACAGCGACATGTAAAGGGATACAATGTGAAAGAGAGAGAGAGAGGGAAAATAAGGAAAAGGAAGACAGGTGATATGCATTAAATTGAAAAAAATATTTTTGTCCCAGGTCGATCTCTCAGAGAAACCGTCGTTCTGGAAGGCATTAAAGCCACCAGCTAAAGATAAATGTGGCGAACTTTTATGCTCGCTGTGTTATCATCCCAGCAATTCGACTCTGACGTTGACGTTGCTGAAGGCCAGGAATCTCAAAGCCAAGGATATCAATGGAAAATCCGGTGAGTGAATCAGAACGTTCTTATGCGTCGATATGTCGCGAAAAGAAGTAGAATAAAAAGATGTAAAAATCTGTCTTCTGCTGTTCTTCTTTTGAGTGATTCATCTTGTGCTTCTTTTTGTTCATGCTTGTGACAACTTTCATTTATCTCGACAGATCCGTACGTGAAGGTATGGCTGCAATTCGGTGACAAACGAATAGAGAAACGCAAGACGCCGATTTTCAAGTGCACGCTTAATCCCATTTTCAACGAAGGATTTTCTTTCAATGTACCATGGGAGAAAATCAGGGAGTGCTCCCTTGATGTCATGGTTATGGACTTTGACAACATTGGTCGAAATGAACTTATCGGACGGATTCAGCTTGCTGGTATGCTTTCATTTATTTGGAAATACTTACGTATTTACGTTATATTTAATAAAATTGAATACCCACTATCGTGCTGTAATTATCAAAAGAATCAATGATCTATTGCATATTTTGTTAATTATATTAATTGTACGGCTAATGCGATAGTAGCTAAGAATAAGTAAGCCCACAGAATGTTACAAAAGTGTCCTGGCTTTATAATCTTAGAAACTATGGGGTCGTCTTATCCTTGTAAGGAAACTTACTCAAACTCTTCCGACTTTGAATCCACATGATTTTCCAACCACAATCACTCGATCGCTAATGCATTTTCTTTCTATTATTACAGGTAAAAACGGCAGTGGTGCGAGCGAAACGAAACATTGGCAAGATATGATCACAAAACCGAGGCAAACCATCGTTCAGTGGCATCGTCTCAAACCTGAGTAAACAGAAATATCCAGCAGCGTTCTTCCCCAAAAATTTCATTATTCTTGTTTTTTTTCAATTTCGAAATCTGAATCGCTTTCGCCTGTGATGTTCTAACGAATTTTGGGTATTCAGCGAGACGTAAATAATACGATCATTGCTCATTGGGAGTCCTGAATAAAAGTACCGAGAATGTAAAAGTATTCAAAGGAAGTTCGTTCCTTCCAAATTTCATTTCTTACCACTACAGTCGGTCTTATTTCATTTTCAGTCTAGATCTCATTTATCGAGAGCACAATAGCAATGAGAAAGATTCTCCCAAATATCCTAAGCACACAAAAATTCTTCGTCTAGCCTTATTAACTTACGACATTAACCAATGCGAACAGTGGTCATTTGTTGATGGCTAACTGTCAAGAAAAATTAATATCTTATTTTAATTACGAAATATTTATTTGCACAGATCTGAAATATAATGTCAATAATACTGCGAGTAATGGTTAGTGTAAAATAATTCCATATTAAACACTGAAATTTTGCTTAGAATTATATTTATGTACGATATGGTGCGTATTTCAATATAAGAAATACCAACGACATTACAGTTGAGATATTGCTGCATCGCGAAATGCAATTTAAGTTACAGCATTGCAATACTTGTTGCGTCAGTGTATGCTTAGGACTGTCGCGCGTGCGCTTAGACAAAATGGAAATTTAAAACTCATACATCCATTACTATTTTATTTATTTGATTAAACCATTCCAGCGTGAGCGGCATTAGATCGATAAGAGCTTTTAACCCCACTCTACCTCTTTCCGCTCGAACAATCTTGCAACTTCCAAGGATACCAATGACAACCGACTTTCAAATATTGTGGAAAATTACGAATGACGAAGTCTCAGTGTCTCGCGTTACCATGCCCATAAACGGAAAGCCAAATTCACGAAAAGATGAGTTACAAATTTTTGGGAAAATGAAACATCGAAAATACCAAGGTACTTCGTGCGGATACCGTTCTCACTCATGGAGCCACGAGTGGATGAACTTTCTTTCAGAAAAAAAGAAAAAGAGAACAAACAAGAAAACAAAGAAATGTCTAATCTCATAAATACAATGAATTCAGTGGAAAACATGATAAACTTTTCATTATCCGCGTGTACCGAGTGTTACGTAACGAAGTTTTCCTTTGAAAATTCAAAAACGCATTCGCGTCACCCGTTCCGTAAATTGTTGCAAATGGGAGCCTAGAATCAGACAGTTTCTTATTGCGAGTTTCCCAACTGGCAGATATCCTTCGTTTGAGTATTAGGCTAATCTATCGTCAATTCGACCGATTGATTACAGTCATTGATCACGGGCTCCCTAATCAACCAGCGATGATTCCTAGTGTTGCCAATATTTTTTTTATTTCTATCGAACGAGACGGAACGTTCCGAAGGGACGAAGAGACCGAGCGTAACGATCGATTTTTGCCCATGACGGCCAAATATCGAGCTATCGATTGATTATTGGCCAGTGTTATCGCGTTCGTCGAAAACCGGAAGGATATACGATGAGAATATGTTCTTTTACGTCAACTACGTGTTTTTAAGATTAGCTGACGATCGGGATTTCGACACTGAACTGATTCGAACGAATCACTGGCACATAACACTTGACTATTAATAGCAATCGACAAAGGAAAGATATTTTTGACGGAACTTTTGTATTGAGAAACGAGACATTTTTTGGGGAATTTCAAACAATAAATTGTGATCGGTGTACCTTATTAAATACACTAACAATATTATTAATATTGTACTTGGTAATCTGCTGTTGTTAACAATAAGCTACGTTTACCCCCCGTACGAATTCACATGCGAATTCGCGTGGTGTTGTCAGATGACATTCACTGTCTTACGACAGTCATTTCGAAATTTATTATACAGTAGTAAACGAGACTTTGAATTAAGTAACTACTAAGTTTCGCTATTTCTTTTGTATCTCACGATCTTTTAAAAGTCTAAACATAGCTGCTCGCGATCGCGAATCATCGAGTCACTAGATTTTATCCTTAAAGTTTTTTTCCTTATGTTTCCACATATTAGTGCGAGAACCCACGACAAACAAAATTGTCCTTTCCTTTCGTGTATTCTTATATCGTTACATTGATATACTGTATAGACATTTTGATAATTACGTTATGTACTTGTATCGAAAACCTGATTGAAGTCTCCTCACGTAACTGCAGCAGAATCTCCTATTGTGTACTATATTGCTAAAGTATACACGAGGAAAAGATATACAGTAGCGTTTAGTACTTAAATTAAAGTAATTAGTTTACAGTATAAAATCCAAGTATATTATAAGTAAATGGTTATATATATGTATATATAAATACATTTACATACACATATATAATAATATATACACGCGTATATGTGTATGAATTTATTAATATATATATGAATACATATATATATATATATAAATAGATATATATTGCAGAAATATTGCGTAGCACAAAGGATTAAATAATATTTGTATGTTGTAGCCTGTATATACACATATTATACAGATTATTGCCCGGTTTATTGAACGCCCGTAAAAATCATTATATTCACGGAAAGGAAAAGAACTACTATAGATTCATGTATGGTTCTGGTGAATGGCGCGAAATTTGAAATAACATCAGGATCAGTCACGCTGTAACGAAAGTGTTGGGAAGTCTATCAGTGACCGTGTTACCCGTATTAATTTCAAAGATAATACCTCGAAAATTGACACTTCATAATTATCAGTTAATCGTTAACATTGATTTATTGTAATTTTAACGTTTGTTGAAGAAACTGGGCCGCACACTGCTTAAGTATCTAGGATAAACACGGAAAAAAATATAACTCGTTATAGGTATAATTAATTTGTATCGTTAAAAACCGTAAGAAATGTTCGATGTTAACCAAAGTTGTTGCGCTTTCATCCATTGCGCAGGACGAAAATACGTTCATTTGAAAATTTCGAAGGCGGAAATGACGAACAGAGGAGGAGGCTGCGCGCGTTCCTCTCGTCAGCTGTATCGCGACAAATCTGTACATTTAACATATACTACGTACCTACTCAGGACAAAGTACAGTTAAGAAAAAAAGAGTATGTAACTACTGACTACGCGTATTTTGCCCAATGGAAAGTGCAGGCTAATGATCCGTCGGTGCTTTTCAGTGTATTTGTGTAGTTTTTATTTCGAGCAATTAATTATATTACGCCACAAAACGTGCGAGACTACTGAGCAGAATCTAATAATTTTAGCGCTGATATTTTTACGTGGATGCGACGTTACTATTGCAGCAAACAAAGGATAAATATACAATATGTATAAATGTATAACTGTATACGTAACTGTATGAAAATATTTTCGTTCTCTATTGACGACACGATCAACTTGTTTCCTATGCTGGTCGTTTCAGTCATTTGGAAAAGAGCGCCAAGACGGAAGTGTCTACGATACACGACACGTGAATCGAGTCAGTTTAAAAACAGCGATTAGCTGATTAGCTTCTCGGAAGTCTTATTTTGAAGTTTTCATCATACAAAAGAGTAGTATACTATATGTATGTAATTACGTGACGAAAGCACGCGGTCGATTCGAATTGCGATATTTTTGCTGCGCAATGAAAAATCTAGTGAGATATGTAGCTAATGTCTGTTTCCGAAGTATAACGTGTATAAGTTTAAAAAGGGAGAAAAAGCAAGAAGTCTATAATAGCATATACACAAACACAATCTCTTACACACATGCGCACACAGATACACAGAAGACACATAATCAAGCTGTCGATACAGTAGGATTGTTTGTAGCCTGATTATGTCTACAAGTTTGTAGGAAAAAAAAGAGACGAAAAACAAAAAATGAACATGGAGAAACGATGAAAAAAAAAACTTCTACGCGGAACCTCGAATAAATCTTTATGCTCTGAAGAGATAATCACCTTAATGCTCTCCTTCCATAAAAGTATTTTTATATGTCGTCAATTTAAATTTTACTTACTTCTGATTAATCGCATAAGAACGAACGTGCATTCTTCATTAAACGTGGCAGGAATCGAGAAGGAAATTGAAGTCATGGGTACTTACGTGGAACATTGCTGTAATAGGCAGAATTTGACCCAGAAAAATCAAACTATTTAAAAATAAATGCTTATCTCGGTGTCTCAGATAGATTTCCGATTGCGAGTCATTTCTTTTCACTCTTATCGTATTCTATCAGCGTGCAAACCGATCGAATATTCCTTTGAGACGCGCAACGCACAATTAAACGAAACGAAATTAAAGGAAAAGCAAAAGAAATTGTGCATCATTCTTTTCAGAGCGTGAAGCCATTGTCATACAATGAAAACGTACCTTGCGATGGCATAGTCTGATCGTTGTCTAGCAAATTAAACATGAATAAATTAAAAGCTGACAAGCCGAGTTATCTAGTTTTCATTAGATCGAGATAGTTTTTTGTTAGACAAAAGCTCAAGTAGCTGAATTGACCTAGTTATATGCGTATACGTATATGCGTATAGAGGGTGTTCGAAAACTGCGCATCAGATTAGCATAACATTGTTCTTTATCGCAAACGAAATCGAAAAGTCCTTCACCATTTCTTTGTTCAATATGTAATTCATGAATTATAATCAATTAAATTCAACAGATAATAAGTACAACTTATTTGGTGCGTTAGGAAGGAGTCACTCGCGCCACTCACGGACGCACGACTAATTACATCACGCTTATGACTGGCTCAATTGAATTATCAATAACTCGGTAATTACGTATTGGACGGAAAAATTATAAAAGACTTTTAGATTCAGTTTTTTACTAGGAGTAGCGCTACGCTAATCCTTTGCGCCATTGTCTGGACACCCTATTGTATTACACGCATCAATATGCGTAATACCGATTCGTATGTATACGTATGCACATACGCGTGACGAGCTAATATTGGCGAGTGTGTCCCTCATAAATGCATATCTCCATCATTCGCAAAAGCCCAACACAATGTATGCTTTAAGAATAGGACTGATTGGCAACTATTAACATTGATCGTTAAAGAGGCATTAAATTTGGACTGTACTATTTTATTATAATTAAATCATAGTCGTTAAGTTTTTCGAAACATTTGTGTAATTGGTCAATGACTCTGAATATATTTAAAAAAAAAAATTTAATTAATTGACTCGTAAAGTTTCGTTATGATCAATAACTATGATTTTATGAACACTGCACGAACATATTGTATTCATTGATCTGCATATCTGCAAGGGGGGAACAATAGTAACGAAAATTCGTACCACGAAATTGATTAATTATCTTGGTCCTCTTCTTAGAAACACGCATGAATATCGCCATAATCAGTCGTAATTACGAGAGAATTGTTATCTTATGTCAAGCCAAGTGTCTATCGTATATCAGCAAAGTATCATGTACTAGTGTGTTAAATCATACAGTCTGCGCCTGAATAACTCTCTATTTCTCTTTTATGTAGTCCCACTTTTTTATACACAATCGTGAACATTAAATCCTAGTAAAAAATCTGCTCCGTTGTGTCGGACTCTGTGGAAGATCTGAAACTGTTTATTGGAATACGAGCATTTTATAGAAACTTGAACAGCGAGGCATGGGTTATTATGACAAATGGAATGGTTGCAAACAAAAGTGAACTGCAATTATATATAAATATAGATATTACATAATTAGTGTTGGGTTCTTATATTATTATATTTAGAGTTCTCGCATATACAAGATATACAATGATTCCAGATTACCTTTATTATGCAAATGTCTGCTGTAATATCAAAAGCAAAAGAGATGAAAACGTATGAATGACAATAGCAGTAACTAATCTTATTTTCTACATAAATTAATTAACAAAATACGTAGTTCATTTTTTAAGAAATGTTTGATTTTTAAGACTGCCATATCAGGTCTTATGGTAAATTAATCAAGTGGCAACTTGATATTATATTGATTTATAAGATTTATAAGATACTACGATATGAAATAGCTGACTTAAAATGTACATTTTTGGTTTTAAATGAATCATACGAATTGTGTCAAAATGTTCTATTCTGAATCTCTAAAAATGAATTGAAACAGTATTAATTCATTTAATTTTCTATTTTTTATATATAAAAAAGAAATTCCGGTAATAACCGTGTGACAAAAGTAATCCAGAATCGTCGAATATCTCGTGAGTCAATTGTTTATCATAATATAATTCGGATGTTATCTTCTTATTACGAAAATGTATTAAATTTTATGTAAAGCATAGCGCATTATTAATTTCGTTCGTCGAATTAATAAAATTTAATTGAGCATATTATATAGACAATTCAGAGAAAGCGCTGAGAAAAGAAATACCGACACAAAAGTTACACTATATGCGAGGCGCAGACTGATTCTGAAATTACTGTAGTGCCTGAGAAATATTTATTCTCTGTATCCATACTCTGACAGTACATGTAACGTTGTTGAACGAAGCCCCATAAATAGATATAAAAAAAAGGATCCATTGCAGGATATTAAAAGGCAGTACTTATCTCTTATGATTGGAAATATCTATTATTTAAGTTGGTGAACGGTTGAGGGATCGGAAATTCATAACAGACATTTTACTATCTCATCTTGCATTCACTGTAATGTATCAATTTATTAATCTTTGACATTTCAAGTATAATTAACAGTATATTTATTAAAAGAGTAAAACTATCCTTAATGAAATATAGACTATTTTATTTATATCGTTAATGTTATATGTTCGGATCTATTTAATTGCTATGTAAAGGTAGTAAAATTTCTGATCCTGAAATTTTAAATCCCTCATTCGGAAATACTAAATACAAATAAGATTCAGCCCACTGTACTCGGTCCACTGAATACAGGCCCATGGAAATGTAGCATAATAGTGTTAAGGATCGAAGCAAAATAAATTATTGTATGAAACGTTTGTGGAAAACTTTATATTCATATCCTATACTTTTACTTGATAACCTATTGCAAAAAGCGCTGTGTGATTTGATAATTATGCATGTAAACAAATATTCATTAACAGTATTATTAATCAATTTCGCGTAAAAGCAAACAAAATATTTATAATTTCTAATTACTTTATTTTATATTATTAAATTACCATACCATATCTTCTGCACGATACTTAAATTCGATTGTGTTATCGCATTCTACGAAATACTGTGGTTTTCTTATCTGAAGAATTTCCAATTAAAAACTATTACGTACTTTGACAAAGTTATGTTACTCTACGCGATACCTTATTATTTTCAATGGGTTAACCTTTGATCGATACGTCATTATTGAATTAATCGTTTACGTTGCCAAGCGTCGTTGCCATAGCAACAAAACAAGATGCAGTTCCCTGTAAGAATTTTCTGCTAACTTTAAAACCTACTTTTCTACTATTCTCATATTTCCGTGGCACCGATTACAATTCAATACTGATTGTGGAATATGAGTAAGATTCAAGAAACACCAGAAATTCCATGTCCCTGTAGTGCGTCCAAATTTCAAAGTTCTCTTCAAGAAGCATCTCAGGCATCGGCTCAACGTACAGACGAGATTTACCGAACATGTAATCTCCCTACACGCTTCATGTATCCAAGTAAGTTCCACAATTGTATACGTCCACAATACGTTCAAATACGTTCCACAAATGTATATAGTCCCCTAACATCAAAAAAATCTTTGACCAAAATAAGGTTATGGTACAAAATTCTATACAAATTCAAATATATCTTATTAATTTTTTTTGCAAAAGAAATTTTTACCTTTGTCGTTACATACGAGAATTCTATACTGACCTTTCAGCCTTACAGGGTGGTCATCGTAAAATATAATTCTGAGACCACATACCATCTGTAGCTGATGTGTGTACTTGTTCGTTCAAGGAGAACATACGAATTTACGACCTGTATATCGTCACTACCACGTATGAAGTGTTAGCACTCGCACATTGCATCAAAATGATCGACACTATTCAAAGATCATTAAACTATCATAAACATTAATTTTTAGACCAATAGACAAAGTATAAAACCATTAAAATTCTCTCTATCGATATCCCCATACATAATGCAGTCTCAGAATATTTCTACATTCAACAATCGACAATAACTACATTTCGTCAATAACAAACGAGCGCAACGATCAATGCACCCGACGTCGACTAATCGGACGTGTGCATTTTTCCAATCTAATTATAGTAAGCCAACCCGTTATAAATCACTTATTTTTAGAGCTACGAAACCCTGATATACCTACAGTCCCTTCGCTGTGACTCTACATAGAAATTGAACACGAAAAATGTTCTTATTTTCACGAATCATTCGCAATGACAATAAATGCAATTATCAAGGCTACGAAGCCGAGTATTTATAATTCTTCCAAATACATCCTTCCGATTGAAATCGCATGCAATTTTGTTCCGTGTTACATCGAACACAGCATAGGCATTATGTTTTCACACGGCGGAGGCTGTGCCTATCTCCTGAAGCATATGTTGTAGAAGACGTCAGTTGACTATATGTGGAGTGTACTGGATGCACGCGAGTTCAGTGCATCCACGCTGTGTCTAGCAGTGCGCATCATGTCGGCACTACTATCACTCTACTTCCTACTGTTGTATATTGGCAAAAGTATTTCCGCGGAGGAGGCCGATTGTCGCGTGTACAACAACCTTTACGTGTGTCTCGAGGGCGAGACGCTCCAAAGCGTCGCCTTCGAGGACGTGCACGCCGTCCAGACGATCGAGGACATCGAGTTGCATCTTGAGAATCTTGGCATCACTCACATAAAGGAGAATGCATTTAACGACGTGAGAAATGCCTCGGCACTCTATTTAAGGGACAACAGGATGTCTAAGATATTCCGTCATTATTTTCATACTCTCGATCAGCTGACATATTTGGATCTAAATAACAACAGCATAAGTGATATCGAGGATGGATCCTTCGTACGTCTTGTCAGTCTGGAAACATTGTTGCTGGACAACAACATGCTCTCGAAATTTCGACTTGGTACCTGGAAGGGTTTGACGTATCTTCACGAACTCTACGCGACGAATAACACTCTTGCTTTGAAGAAAAATATGTTCAAGGGACTCAGTCATCTGGAGACCCTAGCACTCGACTCCAATGGTATTTCGGAAATACCGTTGGGCACTTTTAATGGAATTCCTCATATTGATTTACTCTACTTGTCGAGGAACTTGATATCACGTTTGAATCCGGACGTTTTTCGCGGGCTTCGCGAAGTCAACGAACTGGATCTTGGAAGGAATTGCATTGTCAGCGTGTCCAGTGGTGTATTTCGTCACATGAAGACACTCGAATCACTATGGCTCAATGGGAACTTCATCGCTACGTTGGAAGATGACGTCTTCGAGGGATTAGAGGGTCTCTCGAGTCTATTTTTAAATAGCAATGATTTTACTTCCGTTAAGATGTCAGCCTTTGCTAACATGAGAAACGTCACTATCGAACCTGGATTTAAGATCGATGGCTCACCAGTCATTCATTTTGGAAAGATACATGGACTGTATCGTTGCACGAGTTCCGGGTATCAAGAACCGTACGAGTGCGAAAAAGTCACTAAATAATTTTTATGCGTCGCGAATCGGTAGAGATACATACAAATTATTAATTATTGTTACACGCGTGACTCCGGTTTACCTTATAGATATGTGATTCATAAATATTTTTTTTTCACTCTTTTAGACTGGATTTTCAAATCAACAAAAGCATACATACGTAATAAAGAAATTAATATGTCACGTACTTTTACAATTTATTGTAATCTTTAATTTTACCGAAGATTTCAAAGTATAATAAATAGTATAATTTTATAACGCATGCTGTTTATTACACCGTTTATTGCATCATTTATTGCGCCTTACGTATTCATACGTATATTGATTATAATCAAGTAATTATTAATCGTACATACGTACGGACTCTTTAATATTATTTTATTATTCAATTGAGCTGAAACAAGCGGCTTATCTTAAAATTTTTCAAAAACAACTGCAGACAGTCTTACGTACTCGTCTCAATCGTAAACCTTTTATTTATAAAATTTAACTTGATCGTAATGATGCATTCATTTATAATAAAGTTATTTAAGTGTAATATATAATATTAATACAACAATAAAGTTTTATGATCATCGGCTCGGAGTTATCAGCTGCTACTTTCAGCTTGACCATCATTGACAATTCTAAAAATATATGATTTTCAGTATGTAAGTTATAAATAATTTGGACGCGTGTAACACTTCCGCGTTTGCGATCTCATTAGCTTCTGTGACACCCTTGTAAGCTATATTTAACGTAAGACATGTGTGCGAAGTGTAACTAATGTTACGCGAATTCTCGCACTTCTATATTAACTAATAATAGCGCACTATTAAATTAGTCGCATGTACAAATATGTTAAAAAAAAGTTCACCGATTTTCATTTTCAAACAAAGGACAACTATGTAACTGTAATGCTAAGGGATTTAAAAATCACGAAGTTTTACTGTAAAATTCAAGAAGCCATGGCATTCTCAGCGTGCGTCATTATACAAAGATAAAGTTTCATTATATATCGTAGACACTTTATATTATTTCTCAAAGAACCTCAATATTCATATCAAAGAAAAATGTAATAGTTAAAGATCTGAAATTCCGAATTTTCTGATTTTTTCGTTATTGGCATCAGTCAATGTAATGTTTATATGGCAAGTATATGGCTCATTATAATTTTCGAATGCACATGTATATTTCGATATTGAAGTCTTAATAAAATCAGATATGTTCATAATTATCTTATTGTTTATCCTGAAACCTGGTTCGATAGTAGCACTACGCAAATTTCGAAAACAATTGAAGTCCAAAACAGAAATGGGATTATGATGCAGATAAAGTGTTTTCAGTTTCCTAAGTCCTTGAAAAATCTTGGCATCTTCCAAAGTTGATAATTGATTTCCGTTTAGCCACAGATATTCTAATGATTTCAAACCCTGAAATGCACCTTCATGAATCAACCAAATTATATTTTCCGAGAGGTCAAGTTCTTGCAGTTTTCTCAAATTTTGAAAAATATCTTTTCGAAGTTCGCTTATTTTATTTCCATAAAGATCCAAATGCTTAAGATTGTCAAGTCCATTAAAAACACCGTCATACAAATCGAACATATTATTGGATGTCAATTCCAGCAACTCCAAGTCCTGAAGGCCAACGAAACTATTTTCCATTAGAAAAAGTTTATTCGCATTCAGATGAAGTTGGCGTAGTTTCGGTAGACTCTTCGGTATCCCAGGGGATAGTGCAGTCAGTGAATTATCACTCAGATCCAATTCCTCCAAATCCGGTAGAAACGAGAAAGCATTGTCGTCCAATTGCTCAATCAAGTTTCCCATAAGGTTAATATGCTTGACGTGGTTTAATCCACGAAACGTGGCACTTGATAAAGTCACTAATAAATTTTCATTCAGTCGAAGAATCTTGACGGCATCGTTATCAGCAAACGCTCCTGGTGCTATTCCTGTGATGTTCATGGCACTCAGGTCGAGGATGTCATCATTAGTGGTGGCCTTAGTCAGATTTTTTCCATTAAAATATATATGAGCATCATTTTTATTAATGGCACAATAGAGTGTCGAACTGCACAATATAGAAATTAGAAACACGGCGTAAACTATGACTTTATAATTTGTATGCATTGTTCCACTCTGCATATGTTTTTGCAACTGCGACAATTGCGTGGACGTGCATACGCTTTTATACTCCTGTGACCAATCATTATCATGCTGATATATTTAACGTTCTTCGACACGATTTCTCAAAAGGAATCCACAACAGTCCATGCAACATTATGCGTCATGTATCAGGAAAACATGCGAGCTATTGAAGCCGATTATACTCTAATTTAAATAAGTATGCTTTTGGAGTCTGTGAATTTTAATTGCAGTTAAACTTCAGAGTACATATTGGATGCATTGTAATATATAAGTAAATTTGAGTGAAAGACCGATGATAATATTTTTTTTTACAAATTCTCAAAGAATACCCCGTAACGTGTCGCCAGAGGGCGTCTGAAAATATTGTTTTTTGGACAAATGATTATAAAATTATCTAAAAATCTAGGATAGTGACGTCATAGGCATCCAAAATATTTTTAAGGAAGGGGAAACATATTAAACATTATTTTTTCAGTTAGGTTAACAGTGCCATTTTTCGTAAAAAAAAAAAAAAAAACGGCCGAACGGCCTTTTTCTTTGAATATTTGTTACAAAAACTGTTGTATCTAGCTAGTACGGATGAGTATAAGATACGAGTATAAAGTTTGGTACACGAGCTATTAGACGAGTGTACTAACCACACATGTCTTATACTCACTCCTACTAGCTAGATAAAATACTATAAGTGTCTTACGTATGTATATCATTTGAGTAGTTTATCGAAATTTCTACAGCGTTACTGTATATTCATGAATCTAATGTATAATCATGAATCGGTAGCTTGAATCACCTTGTGACCGTCAACCGAAAAATCAGATCACAAAATATGTCAAAAAATTATATCAAATTTTTCTCTAACTACATAATGATCTGATAGTGGAAAGTTTGTATATGAATCTGTACTATATTTATTGTAAAAAATATAATCTTACCAATATCAAAATATATTAGTTGCGGCATACTAATGATATTCTTATAGTATAATAAACTCTATGTTTCAATAAAGTTTACAGTATTTTAACACCGATCGAAAGAAGCAGCTAAAGAAATTAAAATATTTATGAGTTTTCAAAACACGTTATCCCATTTGTATACTATATATTGCACAATTACTAAAAGTTATATCCGATGTTCAATACTTCTTATCTTATCCAAATGATTCTCATTATAAACTGATTTCACTGATTAAATCCACTGTGAAATCGTTGCGACACCAATTAGATGCAATACTGGAGTCAAGTATCAATCAATCAAGAAATACCAACAAAAACATGAACAACCAAAATTAATTCAGAAATTAATAATGATATATAGAAGTAAGATATTCCATATCTACTTTACTACACTTACGCTGCACGTGGTGTCAATCGACTTTATTGAATGGTCCGCTAATAGGGCCAGGTTCAGGATACGTACTTTCGCCACCTTCCATATTTTTTCCTGGTTCATATATAACACATTAAAATCATCCAATTATACCTACAAATTTTTCGTTAATTGTATAAAATTCTTGATGATAATAAAAAAATATTTAAAATAAAAAATTTTCTTTCGCGCAGTATGCTACGTTCATAAAATATCTATATGACAATTTTTCAAATATCTCTGCCTATATTTTCAGGAGTATTCAGAGGTTATCGACAAGACGATAACCAGCTTCCGCATCCATGCTACCGTAGCACCTCCATGGACTACGGCTGGTTCGCACCATCGATTCATACGGTACCTACAACCTTTTATCCTCGTAACACAACCTTCAGCAACGATCTAGCACGAGCAGGAATGTACCGTAACTGTTCCCTTAATACGGAGTTAGATAAATCCTATTTCTAGCCATAAATACTGATTATGACATAAAGACTCATAATACTGTAACCACAATTATCACAATAAAGAATAAAAATCCAGCAGATTGAAAACAACCTACCATTAATATTCCAAATAGTATGCATTCGACACAAGGATGAAGGACCTACCAAAGAAAGTAATTGAACAGTTGGGTATCAAAGGATAAGTAAAACAGACCAAGTTACGCTTACTCGAATATTTATTATTACAGATTATTTTATATAATAATAAGTTAACCATATTTTAACAGATTATCTAAAGGGCACTTCAAGTACACCGTGCCCCATTTCTAACGCGGGTAGAAGGGTTTTTTTCATCATTGTTACAGTAGTTACTGACAGGTAACGTCTTTACGTTGTTTCAATGTTTTTTTTCGTTTAAATTTTCCACACGACACTGACGTACGTGCTTCCTTGCCTACAGATAGATCAGAAAACATTATGCATAGAGATTACCATATTATCGTAACATTATCGTAGTGTTTATCGTTAAATATCATATAATACCTTGCGGTTACAACACCCTAATCATAGTATCCGTAATCGTATTCAATTAACTTAACACATCTATATTATTAGTAGAGCTTATAACTACCACAATGACTAGGAAACATTGAAAATGTTTTGTAATCCATTATGGCGATCGTAATGAGTAACAACTGATTAGCAAATGACTTTCCTTCATCGTCACACCGATACCGAATAGTCATGGGATTGAAGGAACGTTCGTCGATCGAATAGCTGGACAAACATTTCATATATTTATAGTAAGACGAGCAAAGGACTCGTCAGGTTAAAAAGGAATGTACACCTCAAGGAAAGGTAAGCTTGTCAAGCCAAAGAAAAAATAAGGGCCGGAGCGCATCATGAGATACTTCAATGTCGGAAGACCAGAATGGAGAATCTGATATGAATCATCCGTTTGAAGAATATTCAAATGACATCTCGCATTCTTTGCGCAGTCATCGCGACGACTCGGGCACCTGTGATTTACTTCAGAAAGATGGCTGCTACCTACCGTGTGGTTAACCCTTCCGATCTATCCCCATTGTCCTTACTCATCCCTTGTCTTCTCGGACAAATAGTCGCAGAGTTCCAAGCGCTCGAATTTGGCCAAACATTTTTCCCACCGTTACTTCCGGCTCTCGGCGTCATTTTCGCTTCGCCTTAGAAAGTAAGAATCACGAGACAATGGATTCCGGTGCTGGTTAACTAGAAATGTTTAGGGTTGCAAGCCCTGGCCAATTTGAACTCTGCCTCTAGGTACGATCGAACGTTACGTCCTGATTACCCAAGAAACCCCTTGTTTTTTCTCCGTACTGATATTCCGACGTGCGCGCGCACGTCCCAAGGATACATGACGTTGACGCGCGCGCATGCGCACAACGAACAACAGTATAACGGATCTATCATTGTACTACGCCCACTCACGTTCCACTACTTGTCTTTTACACGCTTACATCCTAATTTTAGAGTTTTTCCAAACTCGGATAATTCTTAATAATAACGATGACAGATAGAACTCGCATTTTATGTATGATTTAATCTTCATTGGTTGGTTGTTTGCTTTGGTGTGGTATACACTTATGAGATAAATAATCGCATTCTTTGTGCAAACTAGTACTAAGCACGACCACGACACGGGCGCTGCATATGAATACACATAACACACATGTATCTCATTCCGAGCTTTTACCTAATTTCTTATATATTTTTTTTCCTCTAATCCAATTCTCAGCTACGCGCAGTACCCGCGCCGTAGATTCGTTGTTATCTCAATCGCTACTACGATATACTTAAAGTATTCTTAAACACGTCTAATTTATTTATTCCATAGTTTTAAAGTCATCCGGTTAGCATGTCTAGCTGCTCAACGCTTAAGCTAAGAATGAGTATTTATTAGGCTCGCCGTAAGGGATCGGTTCTGAGGTGGAACCGAACTCCCTTTACTCTTATTCATCAGCTATAAGGGAAAACTGATCTGGTTTGAATAGCGTTCCCCTAATGGTATCCATCGGCAAGACGCAACTCGTTACGCTGGAGTTACGCATGCTGTTCGGTTTGTTCTCGTAACGAGTCACGTCTCGCGATTGGTTACGTTTATAAAGTATCGGCGATCCTCCGACGCCTGGAACGATAATTCTGTTCGCGTGATTTACCGGGGAAAAACGAATTCACGCGTTATCATTTTCTTTCTTAACGATTTTTACTTCCTTTTTTTTTCTTCACTCTGGCTTCTGGTCTCCGTCTCACAAATTTTAATGCTATATTGTCATACAATTAAATTACGACGACTTGTAATCGTTACGTAGAGGCAAATAGCGCGAACATACGTACGTCAGGACGTGACGTTGGTATTTTCGCACTCGTTGCGATTATCTTCGTACTTTTTTTTTTTTTTTTTTTTTTTTTTCGAAAAATGTGACAAAAATGTATCTCGAAATTTTCTGATATCTTTGTTGGTAATTTTTTTTTTTCTTTTGTTTTCGCTCATTCACGATTTCTTTACTTTCGTTAAGAACATCATTAACGTATACACGGCTCTTATTAAATCCACATCGATGTAATCACACTTAATAATTATGTCATCCGCCCGAAACGCTAAAATAAAAAATACGACAGAGTAACTCAAGTATCTATCTCTAGGTAGCTTATTGGGTAGAGTTTTGACTTAAGATTAAACTTAACCTCAAAGATTTTTATATTTTTCATCAGTTATCCCGTCCCCTTGCCACGGACGAAATTGGATCTATCTCGGCAAATTGTATGATCAGCTATTATGCACCGCAACTAATGACTACGTAATTACCTTACGTCTAGATTTTACTTAGACCATAAACTCCCATTAGTTATTTAAGTTTTGTTCTTTTTCATTTTTTTTTTCTTTCCATCGGCGCGATAGGCTGACTAGATGTAGGTAAATAGGTAATAACATCGACACATATCGTGATAATAGTACGCATAGTATCGCATAATTTATCTTTATCATTTATGTTGGGTATCATATATGTGGCTAGCACGCATTGAAATCAAGGAGGTAACGTACGGTACTCGACGCGATTCACGCGTCTACACGCCTACTGTTACTATGTTTTTTATTTTTTATTTAGCATTTATTTAGTTAGAGTATTTATTTAGAGACACATACAGAGAGTATTTATGATGGAGCAATCGATTACGTACGGGGTCGAGTTACACGTTCAATATTTCATTTATAAAGGACCTACCATTGAATTCGAACTGCTGTTGTTATAAGACTCGTAGTGGGACATCCATGTCTTTTTTTTTCAACTATTTTTCTACATCTTCGTTAAAAATCTTTTGGCTTCATTCAATCATTCGATCTTGTTTCAGGAGTCATTTTGACGATTTACAACTAACGAGTATAGCGGTTGATAATATTTTTTTTTGAACGATCGAAATTACGTTATCGAAATTCGCAAATGATCTACATTAAATTTGTCACCTTATTTAAATCACTTTTTTTTGAGCTAGACGTACCGACGTTCCATGTTGATTGAATGTAAAATCGATGCAAAAAAAAGAACATGCCTTAGGAGTAAAAAAAAGGGATTGCGATTGGAATAATTTTCTATCACGGTCAAATAATATATTCGTACTTATGGACGAAATACGAGTCGATTGGTAAAGCTCGGCAGTAATCGAATCGCGGCGTACGTAAGACGATGCCCCAAAGCACGAATAGAGCTGAGAATATTACAACAGTTCACATTTATTTCTTACTCTATTATGCATCGAATGCGTAAGTAATACCGTGTGACTCGCCTGCGATCGTAACACCATCGTAGGTTTGTCGAATGAAACATTCTAAGCGGATAAATATTGTAAAGAAAAGTATCGAGCACGAGTACGAAATACTCGTGTGAGTGTTTGACATACCTTTAGAGTTTTTGAATATTTTCTCTTTAACAGCTGCAATGCTAAATAGAACTTGGTAGCAAAGCTCATTGAAATCGTGTCGCGTAATTCGGATTAAAATGAAAAACATTTACCACCGTACATTATCCCGTAATGTCAGATTATCGTTTCAGCTAATGCCTTATTTACGTAAGGTGAATATGGAACTAATGGTAACGTTATATATAAGGTAGTACGTGCGATTCAGGGAATCATCAACCGCTTGTCTTCGATGAAGGCGCGAAGAAGAAGAACACAGTGTCAATGTTGTCTCACATGTTCGCGCGATTAACGACGACAGCGCCGCGACGAGTAGAAAAAGCATTAGTGAATAATTTACACGATATTCGGAACGCTACTGTATTCGATATTGCTAAACTATTATACTATATGTTTAACCGGGGATTTCAGACAAGGAATTGGGACTTAATATTACGTCATAAACAAGAAAAGGGGAAGTAACAACAGTGGCTTACACCATCACACGAATGTTAAAAACATAACATTAACCGTTACGTGTCAACAAGTACGATTAAGCAACAAAACGTCTAGCAACATTGTGGTATCTCGTCATTGCGCAATATCGCGCGATCCTTTTGATTTCGTTTATCATTTTTTCTTTTACTCTAAAGATAAGCCCGAAGCGAGCCGCTTTCCTCTTCTGCGATTATCAGTTTCTTTTCTGTTTGTCCTATCTTCCTATCATAGACTAATGTCGATATCGCGTAAGGCAAATAAAATCTTATACCACGAGGAAGACCAGCCCATACTAAAAGTGCTTGTGCTCGAAGGTGCACTTTTCAATTAAAATAATATAAAAAATATTTATCGGATACGATTGGCCTATTCGATTGAAGATCCCAGATCATTATGTTCCTCTGTGTATCTGCATAACTTCGCATACAACCAATACACGGGAGCACTGTATCCCCCTTTTTTGTTAGATTCATACGCATAGTATACATAACATTTTCTGACCCTATCTTTAGCTTAGCTTTCTTCTTATTTATGTTTGTGGAATTTTTAGGTTTAACAGACAAGTTAAGATTTTTCAACAAGGCGATAAGATGTAAAAACCCTTCCCACGGTAGTCAATGCAATAGGAAGACTCGACACGATAGTGCAGAAAGGTACGGGTCCCGCAATGCTCTCGATCGTGACTGATGGTCGTTGATCGAGAGTGCCCGAATGTCTCCGAGGAAGAACGAAGTTTCAAAGGATCGCGCGACACAGCTTTCTGTCCATTTTTTGTTTCGTTCTTTATGTGTCAATGCTTATGCGAGCGAGCCCGAAGAGTCGCGTTGCTTTCATTACAGCTTTGAAAGTGCATCCTAAAGCTAGTCGCTCTAACCAGTCGAAGTCACTGTCATCGATTCGTCCAGTTTCTGTATTTTTTTTGGCCCTTCGAACCATCTATTTACTCGCGCGAACCGTTTGTTTCTATTTCCTATCTTACCTAGTGCCCCAAGAAGCACCCCTGAGATTTTTCTTAACATTAACCGCACTTGCGTGTTCGCTCATTATTGTTCACGCATTCTGGCTCCGTTGCCATAGGTCTTCTGTAATATCTGTTTTTCTCTCTTGAATCCGTATATCGCGATAACAACGTCGGATGAACTTAAGAGATATTATTGTTCCGTTTTAAATTTTGCAAATATTGTTTTTTCACCATATTAAAAATTGTCTTAAACGAATATAACGTGGATATTTAGACAAGATAACCGCGATAAGAGATTCGCAGCTTTTTGTTGATGCAGAATTCGCAATAGTCTGAATTCAGAGAACAAGTTGACAGTTTGTAGTTCGTTACTAACACCTTGTCACTCGCGTTTGAATTTTTAGTAAACATGGATAAGTATCAATGCGACTGTAATGTTTAATTTTCTTGAATATACAATTGATCGATTATTCGCCAGATTTTTAATAATACTGTTCGATTTGAAGCATATAACGTTCAATGCACAAGGCTTATCTTACTTTATTTTTATGGAATCTGATTCGATCACGATTTACTAGAGCACCTCAAGTGTCTAAGGTATACAACTTGAACGTTTTAATTGTATATAGTAATATTATATTGTTTATCACTAACTCAAGGAGAAAATGTATTTTTCATGTGTATATATGCATATATATAATGCGTAAATGAAAAAGATTGCACGTGAATATGTTTACAAGTGTCACGTTTATACGCAAATTTACGTTGATTAGTTGTGAATTAATACCGATACGAAAAGTATAATACATTCAATTAATTAGTTACGCGAATACAAAAGACCCTTTTGCATTTTTCTATTTCACGAATTCTTGTTGTATCAATTTCGGACGGTTGTCGTCTACTGGAAGCAGACATATAAATTTCCAAATTTATCAAAACTCACATTTTTATTAATGAACTGACTCGAGGATAATCGCGTAAAGCCGTAAAACTTTATTCACATGAAAATTGAAGCAATCACCCTTTGTGCACGAGGGTAAATATCGAAATTTATTACGTATCCTTCACTCCCTACTGGGTGCATAAAAAATGGTCAAAAGTTATAACATAGGACACTTGGAAGTTTCAAGGCACCTCAAAAAGCAAAATTTATATATATTATATTTTATCTTTAAATAATATCTCAATCGAACCTGTATATCATCCGACACTCGTTTTACGCGGAAGTAAAAGATTTTCGTGAATCTTCGAATACAATCACTTTACACGCGTGTTAATATCATTCCAGAGAATATCAGTTAGAATAACGCAATCGAAAAAAAAATTCATCGATATTCACTTTTTTAATTAACAACTTCGATAGTCCTGTTATTACGTTAGTTGAATTCAACAAAGATCTTTACTCGATAAAGTCAATAGATATAATGATCAACTATACGCATGCGTATATACTGTGTTAATGTCATAAACTGCCAATGTACAGCAAGGTTCCCAAGCAGCAGTCCTTCAACGTAACCTTATGTACTCCATGATTACCAAGGACTACACGTATTCAACAAGGTTCTTTGGATAGTAGTCCTTACGGGCAACATTGGTATATATGCACTTGTTATGCGGTGGCGCTATAGCTTCGTTCAAATAATCTCAATATGTGTTATGTGGTATAATACATGTTGATCTATCGATCATTCTACAAGAATTAATTAGCATTCTAATATCATTAATACTTATACATGAGATTGCTTAGCTGTGCAATGTAGCTTTACATCTTTACTCTCAATATTGAAAATATTGAATCTAACGCAAAGAGACATTGCGTACAATATGCTCTTAAATAAATGTTATTCGCTTCTTAGTACTTGCGCAATCGAATGATAATTTCGAAGATGAAAAATTACACGTAAGATAGTCTTCTTGTTGATTCTTAATTTGTTTTAAAAAATCTCTCTAATTTGATCACCATTGTAATCGCGATATACATCTCCAACTTTACAACAATCCGGATCCATCAACTTCCGATCGTCAAGCCCTTAAACTCTATCGTAATTTTTTGAAATTTCATTGGATGATCATAGTAATATCCGCTTTTTATATGTCACTATGCCACTCGTATAACGTTATAATTTTATAAACGAGCACAAAACTGACAATGAAAGAAAAAACCAACTTACGTTGGTTGTCCTACTTAATGCGTGAATATATTTGCAGATTATCGGAAACGTAATCACACCCGTTATAATCATTCTCATCGGTCTCATTTTTAACCTTGAAAAGATATTTCGTTTTTGTATACGTACATTCGTACATTTGTTTTGTATATTCAATCTTCTAGTGATAACTCTCGCACATTTCATAAACGTCCAAATATTGTTGTCGAATGTATGCACCGAACGAAGTTCATCACTATTTTGTCTTTTATCTTTAACAACATTAATTAATGATTTGGATGTTCTTTTTATGCAATTGTATCGTCCCGAATAAGTGCATGATTTATATGAGTGAACAAATCGTATTTTTCAAAGTAGATAATGATGTTTTTGCGCGTACCGAGATCAGCCGGGTCATCCTGTGCAGCAATTTCGATGACCCGCTGTCAGTGAAATTTGCAAGTAATTATTCAACTCAGGTATGTGCGAAATTTTCTGTCATATAATTGTAATGATTAGCGATAATATAGATTATCTAATATATGCTGCGAATGCTGCCACGACTGAAACTTCACTCTTTTGATCTTACTATTGATTGCCCGATGTGTATCTATACGTATTTATAGCTTAAACAATTAACAAATTTTCACTCTCATATTTTAATTCAGTCATCGTGTGACCTGTCAACTCTGAGATGTTCATCTTCAACCTTTCGCTCCATAATATCTTAAAAACTACTTGTGCGCTTAAAATACGGGCGTCGTTCATCTGGCAGCAACGGATATATCAGTTCCATTAGAAAGATCAACTTTTTTTTTAAGGTCGCCTATTAGGTATTAAATTGTAATAATGATAATAAAGATGCTCAACTGTGGAAAGTATTCTATCAGTTGCGTTTACTTTCTTTCAATAGTTCCCTAAATTACTTTCTGTTTTAATTTTGTTTATCAGTGATTATTTTTTAGGAGATGTTGAATGTGTAATCAAGATTGCTATCGGTGTTTTCATTATTTGATCATTCAGTGTTTATGAAACACTTCTGTCATATAAAAGTTATTATGGAAAATTGCCATTGATATAACCAGCAGTGAGGAAATTTGTGTTCATAATTCATAGATTTCATTTTTCAGAAAAATATGCTAAGCAAAGTAAAAGGCATTATTGTGCTTTTTAATTACAAGAAATATTATTAGATCCAACGTAACGGAAATCCAAGGAAAATTAACCTCTTGCATTCTCAACAATATTTAACTATGTGATTAATTATGATTAGAGTTCCAATAATTGTATTAAACTTGAAAGAAACTTTAGTGCCAGAAAATGGAGAAAGAGACATTGAGTAATTGGACACTTCATATCCGCTCCAAACTGTGATTAATTCCATGATGATACTCCACGATAACTTTGAATATTAAGATAAATGCACGAGAGTCAAAATAGAAGGTCAAAGGTTAAGTGGAAAATACATTTCTAAGAAAACCTTAAGTACATTAGCTTTGTATTAACTTCGTTTCTTCTAATAAAATTGAATATAGCAATCGTATGAATCATAATAATTCAATTACTTGTTTAACCTATTAATACATAACATATATTAAAAATTAATAAATTATCTTTCTGCAAACAATATTCGTCTTTGGAGACAACTATCCGTATTTTAATAGCAAAATGATTACATATATCAAACAATTGCTATTATATTTATTCTCATGATTTTCACTCCGTAATGGCCATTTAATCGTATCACAAAGACACAGTCGCTAATAAATGTTTCCACGATTAACTCGCTCTGACATTTGACACTGTTATAAAACAATTTCTGTATATTGACATGGATTTCACATCCGAATCGCTATAAACACCCAACGTATTGTCGCTCATAAAAGCACTGATAAAATCGCATCTGCCGATAATCTGCAAATACATATACACGATTGCGTGTTGCATGAAAGCTAAAGCGTTTTCGTAGGACCAAATGACAAGTGTCTTAATTGCTTCCGTCATCAAGGCAATTGCGCGAAACGGTTCGAGAAATAATGATACGAGATTTCATACTTTATCGCCAACCAATTCGCAATAGTAACTCGACCCGCCTCGCGTCTTTGAACAACAATATAGTTATTGTCAACAAGACGTTCGTTCGTCCGAACAATCGTAAAGTCTTGCGGACAATACGGTACCATCCTTCATTGTCATCTTACATGTCACCGAAAATACCGGCGAAAGTCTTTCGAAGATTCTTCATAGTGTCTTCGGTATCTTCACCTTGACTCTGCGATTGGCTACCCTGACGATGGAAGGGAACTCTTGGAATAGATGGTTCTTCCTGACGTCTGCTAACTGACGTGGCACTGCTGACGGTACTGGATTGTGAAGCTAAAAACACAAGTACACATAAAAATAAATAAGGAATTAAGTATACGTAAAATTAGATATTTATTCGTGATAGATTAAAAAATTCTTTAAGATCATCGATAAGCAAATTTATAATGACATGCGAACGGTGATTCGTTCAGAATATTACTGGAATGGTAAATAATTAATTATATGGACGTCAATATCGGGTATATCAGTCGTAAACGATTAATCCGTAAGAGACTGGATTCTCGAAACTACCTATTTACCGATTCATATCGCACTTATTAAATTACAACGACGTTAACATAGTGCGCAATTTCAGCAAAAAAAAATACCACTATTCGCCTATCCCTGTGTAAACAACATACCTGTCGGACCATCTTGTAAGAGCTTATCGTACTATTTGCCACCCAGAAGTAGCAGAAAGCTACGCAATTATAGGTATCCCGGACACGCCCAGCCTTAGGAAACTTGTCCCCATAGAGAAGTAGCCAGCAGCAAAGTACAGACGCCCCCTCGGCTAAAACCCGTTATTATCGAAGCTAACAGTCGAGTCTATGGCATACTACGATTATCAGTGCATCCAATCACAGCCGTTCAACGTATGATAGAATTTCGATCACTTCTACGAAATCGTGGGGCTTTCGGTTCCCGTTAAAAATTACCTCAATATGTATCGATACGACTTACGCTTACGGTGAGCATCTTTCTTCTAGTCGATATAATACAAATGATATACTATAGTCATAAATTCAAATAAACGTATGACGTAGATGACTTGACAACAACAGTAAATGATCGATACGGACTATACCAACTTTCCTGAATATATAATATACCGTCGGAGCTTTGTCTCTGGGCAACCTCTAATTAACATGACTAATGATAAGGACACAACATGTCAAGGATAAACAGTGCCGTTGGGAATGGAATTAACATAGATAGACCGTGTGATGAGCCAGTTCCATGAGGTACCTACCAAGACCAGATACGTTGTTCTCGACTAGTATCACTACGTCATCATAAAGCGTAGATTAGGCGGAAACTCTAGCGCACTCTAGGGTACACAGAGAGTACTGATACGTTACCAGAGCCCCTGTATGTACCAAATCTAAATCCTCTTAAAACACCATGAACATTAACGCCCGCGATAAAGTAGAGGCGTTAAGTCTTCGTGTCACATATCAGGATGGAAGTAACGAGGTCTTTAAATAGTTAAACCCTTCGAGCCTAGAGGAGCACGCGGGTCTTCGGTCAAGGAGCTCAAAGGACTAAACGACGCACCTTGAGAGTCGCGGCGTTGCAACTGATGATGACTATCGGAGGAAGTGACGTCACCCGCAAGGGCAGTTGTCGAGCCCATGGAGCCTAAGCTACCCATGCTTGTCATGGATCCCATGCTACCATGGGATCCCAATGGTGCTGGTACTGCTGGTGGACGATCTTCTACTGGGCTGCTAGCTTGACTGGAGCCGGACATTGATCCTCTTGAGGCTGTCTTGGTTAGGACGCTGGGTGGTCGACAGCAGGCCTGAAAAATCAGAGATTTATCATGCATGTCCTGAGGTAAGTATCAGAGGAAGAAGTACAATGGTCAGGAGTGGGTCCATACATTGTATATATTGTTGATATATATAGTATATATATGCGTACAGTTCGTGTACTTATTTACCTGCATCTTTGCGGTAACCAGATCAGCAATGTGACGACGGTCTTCCTCTTGAGAATCGCCCATTAATGATAACGCACTATCATTCACTTCTATGATGTACTCTCGACCATCTTTGCCGACTAGTAGCTCAATGGCGCAGATATCCAATCCGCCGAATAATAAAGCCACTTGGTCGACCCAAGAGCGATGTCTTTCTGTAACCGCAAGCTGTTCCAGCATAGCTGATCCTGTGTTCGATTTCCAATTTCCACTGATACTCTTACGCCTGGGCATATAAAATGATTGTACTATTAATAAAAAGTGCTTCAGTCGACTACACTTGTTTACTGAAAAATTCTATATCTATTGTTATAATGTCGTCATATATCTTATTAATAGCTGTTTCCGTGACGCAATTTCTCTACGTGAAAAAAAAAACAGTTCATCCGTATCAACCGAACGCGAGTATGACTCATGGATATGGTCCAGTACGCGTACATAATTATATGAAATTTCTTTAATTATAGCGATCTAGACAACGACCGAAAATTAAACCAACATCTGGTCCATTTCGTAAGGCTAATAGCTGCCTGCCGACCCTTTTGGTTTCACCAACAAGTGATTTGAGTCTGCCGCTGTAAGCGCGGTAACGAAGCCTTCGTCGTTAGATTAAAACTCTGCTCCAATTATTTACACGCTCCGAATTTCTGAACTTGACGTAACCCAAAATTTATGTGAATAGCTCCGCCTGCAGCTGGCCCGGTAAGAGCTAGCTGACTGGCTAGCTGGCTGACTGGCTGACTAGTTGGTTCCGCTTTGGTCCATATAAACGGAAAGCGCAGCATCCCACGTTATGACCGGTATTATCAATGTCGGCGAATTTTTTTCGTATGTATCTCTGTCAGTGCCCATTACGACTATTCGCACTATGCTGATTTTCATAGTAGAAGCCACTTGAGCATCATCGAGCACCATTATGGTAATAGACACTCGTAAGCTAAATTAATCCACGTTTGGTCCAGTATTGACCAATTTTTAAATCACGATTACGGAATGGTAACGAATTTTGAAATAGTATAGAGCTCTTGACAGTGAACGTACATTTTGATACATATTTCAAATTTACCCATTATCGATACTTGATTCATAATTTTCACGAGGAAATTGCTGGTTAATTCTTTTTCAATATTCATAGGCATGACAATTCATGGAACTAAACGTCATGGAATTAAAGGGTGCGAGTATTGTGGAGCAGTCAGCCATCAAATGACGTAACTACTACATATATTGGAAGTGCCTGTAATTTGCCTACTACGGTACCTCGCTGTCAATTCATAGTGAAGTACTACTAAATTGCAGTTCAACAAGCACTATTACCTTTCATAATTTCAATTGAAATCACACATCTCGAGTAATAGTTGGAAACTATTGGGTAACAGTGCTGCTACGCTCTACTTGTTTACAGCTATGACGAATAAGACTACTACGTATTCTTGCTTCAAAGTTTCAGCAACAAGGAGCTATTAAATCAACAATAACGACATTACGCTCAACAATAACGAGAATCTCCATAGTGAAACTTCACTATTTCACGATATAGCTATATAGTTAATATTGTCAAGGTGAAGATTAGTTTCATGTTCGAAATACATATATGGACCTTTCGTCCAATATGTTATACGTGCTACGATTTGTCAATATCTAGATTCATCGATAAAGTTTGTTATATCAATCATCAACTTTAGACATGATTCCTAAATCACAGTTTGTCAAACTTCAAACGCACCGACGGTCGAAGCATAGTAAGAAATTCGAAGTGTCTGGATCGAGTTCATTTTTCATCCATCTCGACGACTTCGCGCTATTCAGATACGGTAGTACTTTAATGTATCTATTTTGAACGTCCAAAGTTAACGAATCAAACTGGCTTCAATGGCACGAAAATATCGTCGACGAAATGATACGAGGACGACGACATCCTTGACACGCTCCTTCGCCGAATGACAGAGCATTTGTCAAACTGATTGAACGGCATACCACTTTCTGTTTTGCGCGATGCCAACGCTACTGCTCTTAGTGAAATCATTTTTCACGCTTTCGTACGTGAAAACCTTCCACGTCTTTCCATAATGGAAAGTGTGGACGATTATTTTTCCAGGACGTCACGGCGATCTTAAAAACCCGTTGCCCGTTAAGTTATATCACGGTTTTAGGCACGAAGCAACTATTTGTTAGCTGACTGGAAAATTTTTCCTATCGATGCTGCGTCATAGTCATTCGATTATTTAGTAAAATTTAAATTATTACATACGGATGCATCTACTTCGTAAAAGGTTGAATTTTAATCGTAACCCTGTAAGCGTAATTGCTCTAGTAAAATTTTTATGAATCGGTTCTTTTATCTTGAATTATTAACTTATAAATTTATTAATGCCATTTACGTTCAATTAATGTACTCACATAAAGGCCTTGTAATTATTTCCAATCTTCTGAACGTGGACGTCGTATTTTGTGTCCACGTATGGCTCTGCAGTGCAATAAGTGTTTGCCAGGGCAGCTAACGAAGCAAGATCCAAAAATTCATGATTGGTTTCGGCACGAGCTTTTCCAACGCCGCTGTGAGCATGTCCTAATTTCACTACCACTGGATAACGCGATGCACTCACCTGAAATGTAAAATGAATATTTCGTTACAAATTGCACATTTCATAATGATATAAAACTGTGCAATAAAATGATCACGTGATACTTTCATATTTTTTGAGTGACAACGTCATAAAACTTACCATGGCACAATCAGGCAAATTTTTTATAATTATAATTAGTTTCGGTTCACCATGTTACACGTCAACCCTAATAATATTATGTTCAGCTTAGAAGAAAACGTCAACACACAATGATACTTTACTATAGGCACGCGATTTAACGATTTGTTACTATGGTCAAGCCTCCTATGAAATATTAATCTGATAAAAGTCGCGTTTCGTGGTTTCTTTTCGTTAATAGTAACGAACATAAAAAAAGCAGCGTTATCATAAAAATCACAGTGAAATCAAAAAAGCTCATATTCACGTCATAAAAAATCAAGATTCATATATGTATACCCAGTATAAAAATCATATTGTAAAGTTATACAACCAAAATTTCGTTGAATAGCATATATTTCCCTAAGTGCGATTGCATTTTCTAACTTTAACCCTTTAATGCAGACGTGACTTTATCATTCCGAAAAAAAAAAAAAAAAAAAAAAAAAAAAAAAAAAAAAAAAAAAAAAAAAAAAAAAAAAAAAAAAAAACGAAAAGAAAAAGAATAAACTAACCGAGATTGCCGAGCGCGAAATTTCTCTCAAGTATTTCACGTCGCAGTATACGACGTGCAATTTCCATCCGAGATCCGTCCTCCACGAAGAAAATAAAAAAGTAAAACAGTATAAGCATCCATACTTAAAAATTTCATCCAGCGCAAAGTCATCCCACTGGATAACGCTCGACACCGTATCAGTACGCTTGTAATAATTAGATATCCGCAAAATGATTTAGCAACTTAGCATGCACGAGAGGTCGCAGCCATCGGAGAGACTTATGTAAAGCAGCTCTCGTTACAAACGAGAGAAATTAATTAGTGCAGGAAACCCGTAAATAAATGGAGCGACACGTCGCCGCAGGTTTGCATACTAAAATTACCGGAGTCTTTTTTTTTCTTACCATAGTAAATTGCATTTCGAATGATGATCAATTCGAGAGCCCAGTTTACTTGGTTTTTAATTGTTTTGTTTATTAGATTATACAACTGTGACACCAGAGAAACTCGATGGAAAGACTCTTGATTGATTAACAATGTTGTTATCGATTTTTAATATTTCGCCTATAGCACGTGTAATACACAACCCTCATAGGAAAATTATAATCATTAATATCACTCCTAGACTTCTAGTATAGTTTGGTCAATACCACCCCAGTAGCTTTTACCATTCCCAACCTTTCAGATAGACGATCCATATAAGCCCTCGAATGGCATCCCAGTAAGTTTATCGTGTGGGGAATAAGAAACATTCCTTAAAAGCATCTACCTTACATATAGTGCCCTTAGGACCTATGGGGAAGCCCGAACATTTACAGTGGATCACATTACAAACTACTCGTCATGGGGTTTACTATTCCAAACATACATAAAAGTATGACCGTAAACGCTTTTCCCATTATCTAACAAAATGGGGAGAGAGGTTTAGTATAGATAAGTCCAGGCTCCCATAGGACAGAGGACACGGACCCCATAGTAATTCCAGAAAGGACATACCGAGTAGTCCATACCATAATCGAAACAGTCGTAGCCAATTGGGATAGTACAAAACCACAAATAAGCGAAAAAATTTTTAATTGCCATCCCACAAAAATTATTTCATACAAATTGCAAAGCTAAATCAATGGTTGGTTAGTAAAATATTATTTTAAATCACCATAATCACATCTCTGTTCGCAAATAAATTTGTCATTGCCCATTTAGAAAAGATCCTTAATTTATAATACGTTCATAACAGTCGATCTCATTACGCATGGATCACTGTTACACCATACTATTCCCATAGGGATACACGTTACTTCTCGGTCCCCATAAGTCGATAGTATGTTTCATTATCAGAAAGCTATCATGGCGAGTACTTGTTAGCGAGAAGCGCCTACACGATCATGCCTTGCCGGCACCCGGAAAATATGGCACTGCTGCGCCCACCTAGTCAAGAGATACTTACATATGAGGTTTAACCAGTGGACGCGATACATACGTGCTAGCATATATAGTCACGTGTAAGCGCCTACGGATAGAGAATGTTCTCTGCTTCCTAAGGTACATCCAACTTCGGTGTATCCTCCGGAGGAAGGCAGCCAGGAAGGGCGCGGCCCTATTCACACGTTGTGTCAATAGTATTCTATTATTCTCCAGCTAGTAGCATTCCGATAGATCCGTGAATTGGTACGTTGATATCGGAATCTGTGGCTTGAGTAATAAAATGTAAATTTTTTGTTGTTTTCATATCCTCGAAAAAACAATTCCTAATCTTCTTTCGAATTCCTTTTTTCAGCGCTCGGCTTTTGATTGTCCATTATCGGTGGGCGAAACTTGGAATGCACACATTGGAATGTGAGGTTTGAATCTGTCATGTAAATAGGCTGGGATTCTAATTATATAAATAGACGTGATATAGTCTGGGCTATGGGTGCACTTTTATTTGGCTCGGTAGCATCTTACGGATGTGCTACTTTAAATATTTGGGATTGGCGTATTAGGTTCGAATTTTATTTATGCACTTGCGGCTATTAAAGAGTTTTATGTATAGACGTTATGTAAAAGGGTGTTCATAAACTTCTATTTGGGTCAGTGGGGATAGTTGAGAACCTCTGGAGGTAAGACGCTAGTTTAGTTTCATGGGCTGATCCTCGTAAGTGACTGAATACAACTGGTCTAGTGTGATATGTGAATACAGGCGGAAATTAACCTCACTTGAATGCACTGTTCGATAGGAGTCATAAAAATTTTCTCAAAATTTTGCAAAAAGATTATCGCAATAAAATCAAATTGAATTTGTACATATAACATAGTTCATAGATGTAATTTTGGAAAAATGTCAAGTGAGAAAAGTATTTTGCAAAATGCAATTCAAGTTATTTATTAAGCAATAGTCGTATGTCACTGTACGTAGAATTTCAATGAAAAACCGTCAACCGTATTTTTCAGTGAATCAGAAAAGTCCCCAAAAAATACTCGTTCGTGCCTAGCATCAGAATCCACCGATTTTCCTATTACACGGTCAATATACTCGGCAATCCCAATATTGGACGTAACCCATATCATCACGAGTAATGTTCAAATTTATCTGGCCAGAGAAAATCAAGATAAAGCACGAAGCATTTCGATTGTGTCGTGAGGTTCTGTTGGAATTTCTCGTATAATGAAAAAACTTTGAGCTTCCCCTGTCGGCACACATCGTACGCTACTTTACTTCCATTGCAAACCTGTAGAATACGATTATAGTGATACCTGATAAGCTGCCACTAGACATGTCAGACATATGCGATACGCGTGTAATCCTGAAATACTATATACGTACTTGTAAGTGCTATATCCATATATGAGGTAGATTAATGTTTATTAAATTGCAATGTGGAAAACACCCTCGTATCCCCAAGTGTAATTATTTAGTTGACAGGAGTTATGTAACCTCGTGGTAATTTACGGCATGATTAAATCGATTGTTACTAAATTTTAAGAAATAGTATGAATTTCGTCACGAAAACGATATTGTTCCCTATTGTGATTAAATGTTAATAAATATAAGATGCAAGAAATGGGCAACATGTGACTAGTGACAAATTGTGAAGTCACAGCGGGTATCCTGTTCTGTGGATCGTAAAATGTTCCCTGTTAATGCGATAAGCTAGCGCATAACACGTCAGACATATGTACGAGTGTATGTACTGACTCCATGTAAATCCTTGACTTCCGTGAAACATACTGTATGTAGGATCAATATATTATGAGTATCATGTTTGGTCCCAGTAGTGAAAACTAAATTGTAAACACTATAATTAAATATTGATATCTACAGTTCTTGATTAAACGGATGATAAAATTGAATATATCGTTATTGCATTAAGTTGCAGAGTCAATAAAGTGCACGGGAGAATTAAAGTTTAGTACAAATATATTAGCTAATCGTAATATAAATTTGTGAAAAAAAAAACAAGATTTTTACTAATTTCATATTTTAATCAAGAAAGTGCTGATATTTCAAAAAGAAAATAAATATCTAGGTTCACGGAAAGTGAAGGATAGTTCTCAAGGATAGGGGAGAATGATTTGGAAAGGGTTGATCGTTTGGCGCCATGAAACTGACGCTATATATCAGACCGTTGTCAACAGCTATTCAGAGTGATTTCTGGTACGCAAGAGACACGGTCGGCGCCACGCCGGGCGCCGACATTCCCCATGCTGGACAACCGTAACAAAACCGTAGGAAACCGTATGCCTGCTACTCCCGCGACTTGCTGATATTTAAACCGGATTCACGTAAGTCTAGCGCACGAGGAGAAGCGTAACCGTAAATCGCGATAGCTTGACGTAAATCGTGGCGAGTCTCTTGTACAGCCATATCGTTATAGTATGGATAATTTTTAAACATCGAAACTTCCTGATCGATCCTGACACCGATTCGAGCATTTGAAACGAAGGCGTATCGGTTTTGCAAATGACAGAACATACGTATATGTAAGAGAGAGTGTGAAAAGTAAATCGAAGTTAATGGCTGTGATACTCTGGAGATAGGATCAGTGATATACTATATACTATATGTATATATTACTTGCCCGTACATTTGATTCCCTAAGGCGAAACCAAATCTGGTTGGTGCGTTCGAACAGCCAACTTGTACACAGATATGGTAAAAAGATTGATGCGTGAAATTACATTTTCCAGCAGATTGGTCCTGACGTACGGAAGTCTTACATTATTTCTCAGGATGATGTAAGAAATATTGCCCTCGTAAATGGGGACCATTAATATCCTTACCATCCCATGAAAAAGAATACGAGCGATACACGGAATCTTATCATTTGGTACTTTTCTCATACGCTTTTGTCGAGGTTACTAGATTAAGGACTAGTACACGGATATC